GAGCCTGACCTGCCCCCGGACGGCCAAGCCCCGCCCCCGCCCCCGCCCCGCCCCACCCTACCCTGCCCGGTGCCCGCCGTGGGCCCGCAGCCTCAGCTCCGCGTGTCCCTGCTGCAGCCCGCCTTCATCCCTCCATCCCTCCATCCATCCGTCCCTCCCTCCCTCCCTCCCTCCCTTCATCCATCCATTCATCCCTCCATCTATCTATCTGTCTCTTCATCTGTCCATCCATCCATCTATGCATCCATCCATCCCTGTAGTGCCCTGCTGCACTCGAGGGCAGCCCAGGCCTCTTGTGCCCGGTGGAGAGCCAATGCCCCAGCGTCGTGCCACCCTCAGTGCCCCACACGGGGCTGCAGGCACTCGGTGTGCCCAGCCTGGCGCCCAGGGGCCAGAGCTGCACCTGCACTGCAGTGCCCCACCAGTGCTGCCTCCCCTGTGCTGCCCCCTATGTTTCTCTTTCCATGAACTACCTCTTCTCCATGTTTTCCTGCCTTGGTATCTGCCCTTTCCATGCTCTTTTAGCTGCACCAGCTCCCTAATCTCATCCTGTGCATTTCCCTTCAGGGGCTAATAGCAAGGAGCCCCGGTGTGAGGCATGACAGGCACGGTGGAGGCACTTCCCTCCCTCTCCAGCAGCCAGCATGCAGGAAGGATGTAATCCTGCACCCTCTAGGCCCAAGGCCACCACCCTGGCAGTGTTTCCAGGACGCTTCCCTGTCTGGCTGTGCTGTCCCTCTGGTGCTTGTTCCTCTGGCAGTGTGTGTGCTCTGCTTTTCTTCAGCTCCTCAAATGCATCCTGATAAAGGGCTGTTCTGTGCCATGCAGCCTGGCCTGGCTCCCTTCTTGTTCTGACAGGACAGGCAGAGTGCAAGCTATCAGAAACACCATGTGGTAATTAAACAGGGAAGTTTTTGGTGCTACATTTACAAAGATCAGGTAATTCCTGACAGGCACCCTGTGTGTGAGAGCCCACAGCCAGAAGTGTCAGGTCCGATGATGGTGAGTCCCAGTACAGAGAAATCCTGCCCAGGACTAAAAGTTGTACAATTGTGTAATGAACGTATTGCATGTGACAGATGTTTGGGCAGTGAGTGTGCTGGTTTGGACCCTGCTGATGAGCCAGGGAGGTACTGGAATGAGGGCATCCATCTGATTTCTCCCCCCTTAATTACCAAAAAATCTAGAAAATGCACACAAAATGTTAAATGATGCTGAAACAGAAGTTACAAAACACCAGAGTTGAAGTTCCTAGTCCATAGCCAAGCTCAGTTGGCTGTCGTGTGGGCTTTAAATGCAGTCTGTAATTACAGGATTATATTTTTTCCCCTCAAGGGGTTGTCTCTGTCAGCTTGAGAACGGTGGATCTTGGAGGATGAGACTGGTCTGGGTAAGGAAAGAGGCAATTTTATTTGTGCAGGAGTTGGAAAACACACTGAATGACACAGGAGAGGAAGGCTGGTCTCTTGGAGTGGCAACCAGTAACGGCTTTACATTTGCCAGAGCTGACATATATGTTGGGTGGATCACTAAAGATCCCATTTTTGTAGGTCGTTGCTCTCTAATTCAGTGTGCCTGCCTTGAGCCACTGAGGATCTGACAGGAATATGTGCTAAATACTCATAAACTAAACTACAGCTGAAATTAATCAGAGCTGTACTTCGAGCAGTGCTGCAGAACAACACATGCTCTGATGAACATAACCTTTGCGTATTTCAGTGAGACACCCAAACTTAATGGATGTTTTGACCTTAATCCTTGGCTAATATCTCTCCTTCATCTCATTGAGAGACTGTGAAAATAAATGAAGGTTTACAAAATGTTCCTATTCTGTAGAGATAACATAAAAGAATCTACAGGTAAATAAGTGATACCACCGTCAGGCCAGGATCTATGTATCATGCAGTCAGTAACACCTCGGGCAACAGACTGAATTGCTGTGGTCATTACAATTGTGGTGGCTGCTGCAAGCTTCTACCTGGAGAGATCCTCTGCTTCCCAGACAGGTGGGCAGCTTTCTCCCCATAGGTCTGGTTTAACTTATTTTTCCAGATCTGGAAGCAGCCATTGCTGTGCAGGGTATCAGTGTCACTGCTTCCAGGCTGCTGGCAGATAGGCAGGTTTGCTGAGTGTCCTAGAGATGGAGGGGCCAAAAGATCGAGTTGGTTTTGGACGACAGATCCAGTGTCTATTCTTTGCCAGGCATGGGCAAGCCCATAGACTCCACAACCCTGAACTCTATGTAGAGAACTCATGACTTCAGAAGTGCCTGGCCTGTACATATGGGGATGGGTTCACAAACCATTTCTCTAAAATTCAAAGTGATGTCTCAAAAAACTGAATATGGTGCTAAACTGTATATGTTTGCAGGATATTAACATCCCTTATTATGCTGCTGCTGCAGAAGTGAATCCAAAATACTCAATTCTTTTTTTTTCCACAGCCATCAGTTTAACTTAATTTTAAATTGCTATTCAGAAGCGCCAAGACTCAAAGCTTATCTTTTATAAATGAAATCTCAGATTTTCTTTTTATAATTCTTTGTGGAAGTCAGACAATAAGAACTTAATGTTTTAGAGATCCAGTTATTTAGATAATATAAAGCAAATAAATAATGAGGATATTTTACAGTCCTCGTGTGGGGATTATTTCAGATTTATCTTTATGCAGATTAATAAACTTTTCACTTTTATAAATTGATGTGCCAGGCCCAAAGTGATTTGAGCTTGCGTGTGCAAGCTGACGCAGAAGACAAGCAGTGCTAACTTCCAAAAATAGAGGAAGGTGAGAAGATTAACTTTTTCACAGCTCTTTGTCACTTGTGATACTCAAATTATAAAGATGTCTTTTGCAAACTGTGCATTTTCAAAGTAAATGCATTCACCATCTCAAAGATTGCAGAATAGCTGTGTTTTGTGAAGGCAAAAAGATTACATTCTTGGTGTAATTGTTCAATTACATTGTATCTCCCCACTTCTTTATTGTTATTAACTAATAGTAATGTGATAATAAGTTGATGAACTTTGTCTTCAGCAATTACTATTTTATAACCTGAGTGTAGCTGATAGAAGCTGATGGGAAGGAACTGGTTTTATTAGATTAATTTCTGGAGAGAGTTTTGGTTATTGGCTGACGTATGCATCTGTGCATTTTCTTAACAAGGTAAAATTACTTCTTAAACAAAGCCTTCCTATTTTGATCTTAACAGGAGAAATAATTGCCTTTGAAATGTGCAGTTATTGGCATGCTAGATGAGGAATAAAACTCTGTGAGAACATGTCAGATAATAATCACAGACATCTAAAGTAACTTCAGGGTCAGCTTTCAAATAAATTATTTGCAGGTGCATTTTGGCATCATTCAAATGGGTTGAATAAATTAATAATCTTTTTTTGCCATTAGGCTAAATAATTTATTCATATCTCCAGTGTCCAGTGGCTAACCTTGATACCTGTGGAAACTTTCTCATTCCTGAGTCCAAGCTGCACATGAATTGGTAAATTAGGCAGGTAGATAATGCTTTAAGCTTCAGCTAAAGATTGAATCTTTAATTGTGCTAAGCATGACTGTGATCACACAGCATGATTTAGATGTGAGCCAGGGCTCTCAACAACCATTTCATGTTTTTACTGATTTATAATATTTCTATCCTTGTGTATCTTATTTTCTGACAAGTTTATAGCTATTGCTTTGAAATCTATTAAGTGTCTGAATATGTGAAAGCACGTTGCCTGCCCAAGGAGTTTAAGCCAAACCACCAAAGTAGACTGGGCAGAGCATTATTTTCTGCTGTCTGGCCCTGGGGTGGGACAGCAGTGTTGGGAGCATGGGGCTGGAAGGATGGCAGCAGCAGTACCTGTGCTCAGCTGAAGTTGCTGAGGAACTGTATCTCAGCTCCATGTCTTGTGCACAACCGATTAAACACTTCATGGGCTCCTTGTTTCCTTTCAGAGTTAGTGTCACCTATCCCATGTCTGATCTCATCAACCCTCCACTCACATTGCTCTGCTGCCTCACCTGTCCTCAGAGGTGCATATCTGGAGTAGTGCAGCCAGTTCCCAGCTAGTCCCTCCTGTCCTTTACCACACTCCAATCCATCTCATCAGTTTTGGTTTCACTTATTTAACATTCCCCTGGTGAGATACAAAGGTCAAACATTTCACCTAATTATCAAAGTATCGATGGGAATAAAAATGTCCAGGTAGCAGAGAGAAGCATATGCAGGAAACAAAGAGCACCTGGGATTTTCTTAGGGCTTTTTACACCCTTTGGGGGGCTTACATACCAGTTTGAAAGCTGCTGGTGTGTGTTGCACATGTTATGTATTTATATGATTTATAATGAAAATTTTAGGTAAAGGGGATATTTTTTGATGAAGTGTCTTGCTTTTTCAAGAACTTGGCATAAGGAGGCTGTGGGTATTTTTTAAGATTAACACATGAGCAGAATGAGGCAGGTGAAGACACATGGCAGTTTTTCTCAAAATAATTTCCAATTTGTCACAAAATTCTCTCCAAGAAGAGAAGTTTTGAGGATATTATTCCAATTTGGTAAAGATTTAGGGCAGAGATAATAGGGTGTTATAGATGACGTCCATCCTGCATGGCATGGGAATTAAAGGTGCATAGCATTTACTTGCTCAATAACTTTACCATTTAGTAAAACCACCCATCTGAACCAAGTGCAAATAAAGCATTTTTTGGTGTAGTGCTGTTGGCTTATTGATATTGATATCAGCTCCTGAAGATTCAAACCACATTAAGTGGCTGTGGCAAAGGCAGCGTGGTGAACAGCCCTGCAGGAGGGATTGGAGCCTGGGTGGGGGTTAATCACATTCAGCATCACAGAGCTGTGATAAATCCTGAATCTTGTGTTTTCAGAGGCTGCGAAGAGGAGTTCTCAGAGATCTTGAGCGTCAAAATCAGAAAAAGGAGAATATTCGTCTGTTAGAAGAGCAGATTGCTTTGACAAAGCAGCTTATGGAAGAAAGAGACAAGGCGCTAATGCAAAAAGATTCCCAGAAGTCCTAGGCACAGGCCTGGGTCCTTAGAGGCTTGACTGAAAACGTTTGGAGATCATTCATATCTAACTACTTGCAAGTTTTTTAGCAAACAGAGATAATCTGTGAAAGACTGTTTATTTTGTACAGGTTATAATCCACTCCCTAAAGCTATAGGGTGGACAACAAACATTTCCTCTGTCATACTCTGGAAACTTGGTTGGCACATCCAGTGTGACTGGTCAATGTGGGGAGGAATAGCTCATTATTGCAAACACGATCTAGGATGGCTAATAACGTTCACATGAGTGGGCTGCTCAGTCGCCATGATGATGAAGCCACCAGGACCTCCACCTCAGAGGGCCTGGAGGAGGGTGAGGTAGAAGGGGAGACTCTCCTGATTGTTGAGTCTGAGGACCAGGCTTCGGTGGATTTATCACATGACCAGAGTGGGGACTCTCTAAACAGCGATGAAGGTGAAGCATCCTGGATGGAGGAGATGTCCTATTACTGCGAGAAATGCCAGAAGTGGATCCCAGCAAGTATGCCTGCCCGTTGTGTTGTGTCTGCCAGTTGTGTTGTGCCTCACTTGCATTCCTGTGGTGGTTGTTTGCAAGCTGTTTGTGCTGTCCTGCATACCTGTTTTACGGGGCAGCCCTTGTTTAGCTGTATCCTATCATATGTTGGAGAAAGGCTTGGCATTGCATGGAGCCCTGCAGCCCAATGGCAGTGGTGTGTGTTAGATACTTTGATCCATGAGCTCTATGTATGTCCAAAGGTGGCATTCTCTGTAAGGAAGTCGGACTGTCTTCTTTAATTAGCAGAGAACAAGGGTGTGACTTCAAAACCACACACATCCTCCCAAGTCTTGCAGCTGTTCAGGGAACCTTAGCCAAGCAAATTGGCCTCTCGGCTCTATCAGATAAGAATAATGACCCTTGCTGTAAAGCTCTGTGGAAGAAAAAAACTTTGTGATGGTGTTGCTTTTTTATTTTTTCCTATTGATTTGTCACATCTGTGGAGTAAATGCCTAAATCTCAACCTTAATGGTTTTCTCATTAATGTGAATTTGAGTTGGCTTTCACAGAAACATGTCCAGCCTGCAGCAGCCAGCTCTGGAAGGTGTTAGGAGCAAGCTGCAGAACTCGATCCCTCTGCTCTGGCGCTTGACTTAAGATATATGCTGTTAGCAGCGTAACAGATGACTTTACTTATTAAATTCTGGGTTATCTGATCTATTATTAGATCCAAAAGCCAGATATTGCTAAGCACTGATTGTTTTTGGTTTTGGTGTGAGGTTTTTTGTTTGGTTTGATTTGGGGTTTTTGTGGGGTTTTTGTCTGTTTGTGGATAGAAATAGTGAACTCTTCAGGTGGCAACTGCCTTCCAGATATGTCAGAGCTGCCCTTTTTGCCTTCTTAGAATTTGCCAAAAGTTAGAGGTTAGAAATCTCTCAAGGCATGTTAGTATTTAGATGTTAACGCAATGGAACCAGCACTGTACTATTAAGTTACTGTGCAGTAAAGGGAAATATTAACTTTAAATGTAATAATAAAAGGAGCAGAGTTAAAGGTAGCACGAGTTACACCGGTGCGCTTGATTTAACACTGTTTGTTTTATTTTACAAAGATGTTCCTCTCTCCAGTTGCTGTGGAACAAATCCAAAGAACAAAAAAAGCCAATTGCAAAGCAACAGTAACTAGATACAAATGTGCAACATAAATGTAAAAGGGAATTACTGTACTCTCCCTAATCACTCAGTTATATGGAGTTCACTTGTCACTTCTGAAAATTGCCAACATGCTCACACAAATAATCACTTCTTTACATTAAATTGCCATTTAGAAATTCTGTTAATCTACGAAGTGTGGGTAGTTAAATTCTGCAATTCACTATGGAAGTAGAGCATCCGTACATTAAAAATGCTTGATCTGGTGTTGTTATACAGTAAAAGAGATTACATACTTGCAGTGAAATACCTTTTGTGTGCAAGTTTCCAGAAACACTGTAGTCTTGAACTGTTTCCCTGTCCTGTGATGTCATTTTTCAATTTTTCATACTTTTGTAAATTAACTCTGGGTGAGTTTGGAAACCTTGATTCATGTGTTAAATCTATTCTTTTTTCTCTTCTGAAGAAACATAGAGTTAGAGCCTGTCACTTTGAATGTGTATGGTTTTACAGGTGGCTCTATTGCTTTTGTTCAGACAAACTTTTATGCAGGGCTAGCTTTAAGGAGCAAAGTGTATGCTGACGTACTTTGCTCATTTGGGATCTGATACATCAACTGCACAAAGAAAAAGTGTTTCTTGATAGTGCTGGGCTGTTCTTTTGGCTCTCAGTCTCAATAAAAGAAGATGTTCTCCTGATAGGAGAAATAAACACGTTAAAGGTTCACTCCATGTTCACTGCAGTGTATCCTGGAGGCTGCTGGAAACAGGGACTGGCAATCTGACTTATATATCAGGGAACAGAGAACTGTAAAAGAACATAGCAGTGAGTGGAAAGATGACGTGGAAGAGAACAAATATATATACTGATAGCCTTTGCAGTGGCATACCTTTTTTAACAGGTCAGTTTGGGTTTTTTCTCTGAGTAGGGTGGGAAAACAGTTATGTATTGAAGTCTATAGGTTATCTAGGGGAAGCAAGGAGGAATGAGAAATGCTGCAGAATCAAAGAAATCCTTGGCTTTGTACCTACATTCAGATGTTATGTAGAATACCGTTTTTGATGCCTGTGCTTTTCAGTTGGTCACTACTGGCTGCTGCAACAGTGAAATGAATCTATGCCTTCCATGACAGCAAGGTCCATTGCTTCTTGGGAACTGCCTGGGTCTTTGAACTCTGGGGAGAAGGGAAAAAAAGTACTTTTCTGCCTGATGTTGGAGGAAATCCAAATTTCCCTTGCAGCACTTTTTCTTATAAAAGGACAAAGAAATTGATTTTTGCTTTTTCATTTTAGGTCAACTGAGAGAACAGCTCAGCTACCTGAAGGGAGATAACTTTTTCAGATTTACTTGCTCTGATTGCTCAGAAGATGGGAAGGAGCAATTTGAACGTCTGAGATTAACGTGGCAACAGGTAAGTAAAATGTTGGTGCCAGCAGAACAACTTTAGGACCTCTAAAATTGTTTGTTGTGTATGTACTACACAGAAAAGGAGGATCAGTATCGGTAAGAAAGAAGCATATGCATGAACTTCAGAAATTAATTAGCTAAGGATTGCCTGCATATGTGAACTTGAGCATTTGGAAGGTAAATTGAAAGATAATAATACAAACAGCTCTCCTTACTGTTTCTTTTTTTTTTTCTCTTTATGTTGCTCATGAATTCATGGCTTCAGGCAGATTTTAGCTGCCAGGCATGAGCAGGTTTTTTGTATATAAGAAAATGTAAAATGACTGAGGTGGCAACATAGAAACAAAAAGCTTGCCAGCTCCCTGAATACAAAGCTCCAGCCTGGCTGCTTATGCACTAACAAGAGTCCTTGGTGTAATTCACTATTACAGTGACTTGCATACCTGAGCAATCAAAATAATCTGCATTATACAGCAATGACCAGGTACTAGACTGAGGCACATCATGTGCGGGGCGCTCCAGGGACAGGCAGGCAGTGCTGGCTGCCTCTGCTGAAAATGCATTTGATCAGGCAGTAGCTGTTGCTCAGCAGTGAGTGTTTCCACATCGGGCAGTATGTGCAAGACATCTGTTTGCATCCTTTAGGACAGTAGTGGTGTGTTGTCCCATAAAAGATAATTTAAAACATCAGTTATAACTCCTACAGTGCTTTCTCGTGGTGGCCAGTGCAGGGGAAAAGATTGATGTAGCAGTCTGTGGCTGGCAGACCAGCAGAATTTCAGCAAGCTTCTAATTTGGACAGGAAAGGCTTCTAGCATTATGCTCAGGTCTCTTCAGAGTGGCATGGGGAAGGGGCTGACAAAATCAAAATGGGTGAGGAAGAAAGCTGACTAATGACTACCCCCCTAAGCTTCCAGCAGCCAGACCTGCTGCTTCTTCTTGATAAGCTGAATTGAGGGAAGGGGTCAAATTAACTCATCTGAACAGGAAAAAATGGGGACAGTGATTTCTGTATTTTTTTTCAGAGTATGTGTACTCAACAAATCCTTATCTTTAGCCAGTTGAAAAGAGAATTGTTTTTGAAGTCCTGAGACTGTCTCACATGATTTAAAGAACCACAAAATCCTAAATAGTTACCAAACTAAGAGGGATTGTGAGACAGGGGACATGAAAGCTGTCCATGTTTCCTTATTTTGACATGTTCAGCAGTGCATCCCAGAAAGCTATGGTCCACTGTGAAGAGACCAATCTGCCTAAGAAAAACACATTTCAGACTCCTCTGAGGGTAAAGTATAAGTCCTTGTTGGAAGTAGTACCAAACTTTGTGGTTGTTGAAAGATGATCCCAGCCCAGCTGATTTTAGTTGTATTCAAATGAATTAAGTAAATGAAATTAACAGTTGGTCACCTGGGATTTACTTAAAAGAGGTGCAATAGTTTTCACACCTGCCCTTTAGTTTAAGTATGTAAAAGGTCAGAATGAATTTGGTTGTGAAGTGTGTGTAAACAGTTTCTATTTAATGAAGATCACCTGTAGACAAACCTGATTCTTGCATACCTGGAACAATTAGGAGATCTTTAATTTTACAGAGCATTTACAGTCTGTTCAGTTTGGAAAATAAGTGTCTAGAAAGACCATTGTCTGATGGATTAGATCATTATATCTCTGATTGATTAGATAGTAGGATTACTTGTGACCATTTTATTTTGAAAGACTGTTTCCCTACTCTACTTTCAGACCACAGTTGTACTGTAATTCATTTATACAACAGCTGCAAAATTTTTGTGTCTCAGCATAAACCTGCATAACGAGGCAGCTTGTTATTCCTCTGGGATGGAGAAATCTAGGCAAATGTGCATCTAACAAGAGAAAGACAAGAACGGGCAGCATGAGACCAAGAGGAAGATGGATTGCAGAAGTTGCCTATGAGATGTTGCAAAAATAAGATATTTATGAGGGAGCATAGATCTGTGTGTGTGTGGCAGCTGTGGGGGATAGTTCAGCAGAGAAAGCTGGAAAAATTCACTTGTATCCAACACCTTCTGTTCCAGGTTGTCATGTTGGCAATGTACAATTTGTCTCTGGAAGGAACGGGCCGTCAGGGGTACTTCAGATGGAAAGAAGATATTTGTGCTTTTATTGAGAAACACTGGACTTTTCTATTAGGGAACAGGTAAAGACATGATGTTTTGCCTGAAGGTCTGGTTGGTGAGCCAAAGGAATTTGTTATATAGATGGACAAGAACCTGGTTAATTTGGCAACATCTCTGTTAAGCTTCACTAGTGAGAAAGTTGGAGCATTTAATATTGAGAATCTCAATATAGGCATGAGGGGTACTCTTGAGAAAAGATAAGCATTTCTTACTGGGGAAAAACAGCCCCAAGAATGTCACACAAAAGCAATACAAATGCATGTATTTTGGATAATTTCTTATTTTCCTTTAGGTAGCATGTGAACCTGCAAAGCCTTTGAGTTTTTCTAAATAGTCACAATGGATGGGCTAGTCCTGGTATCACGAGGCTTCAAGGACAAAACTGTGGTCCAGCAAAGTACCACATTACTTGGCTACAAGGCTTGCAAGGACCAAATTCTTCAAGAAGAACTGAGCTTCACCTTTTAGATTGTTTTGGATCTTAATACTTTTGGATCTTGGCTTTTACATAGAAGGTGTTACAAACCAACAAAACGTTTTTGATTGTGTGTAAAGAAGCTGTCAGAGTAGGAACCTCTCTTGTAAAGGACAGCCTTGGCTGTATGGGTGAATGGCACATTCTTTCTGAGCATGCTGAAGCTGTCAAACCTACGTGTCACTGTTAATGCATGTGCTATGAAGCCAGGAAAGGAACTGAGCAAGCCTTCCAAGTTGTAGATTTGATTGACTTGACAGCTTCTTTTCTTAAGCAGCTCCCTGCCTCCAAGTGGCCAAAAATGTGCTTCAGAGTAGTTCAGTGTGTGTGCATCAGTGCCAGTGGCAGAAGCGCTCTGCCCTTTCTGTCTTGGAGGAGGCTCCAGGATGAAAGCACAGCTGGCGAGTGAGGGCTTAACACTTGTTTTCCTCTCTCCCACCATAGGAAAAAGACCTCAACATGGTGGAGCACAGTTGCTGGCTGTCTCTCTGTGGGGAGCCCCTTGTTTTTCCGCTCAGGGGCACAGGAATTTGGAGAACCGGGATGGTGGAAACTGGTTCATAACAAACCCCCAACAATGAAACCTGAAGGAGAGAAGCTGTCTGCATCTGCCCTAAAGGCAAAAGGTAACTCTGTCCCTGATGGTGTGTAGGTTCCTAGCTGGTCTAGAGCTGGAAGCCATGAGAAAAGTCCAGTTAAAATCATGTGTTTGTGTGCAGGGACAGATTCTTAGTTTTGTTCTGATGTGAGGGTTGACTCAAGAGAACTATAGTGTATATACTGTAGTGTGAGAAGCCTGTTATATTTATTACCTTTTTGCATTGTGCTAACTGATTTAAAGGATTTTGAAGTTTGTGCAGAGTGTTTTGTGTTGTTCTCTTTTAGCTGAAATCCCCAATTTCTCTACTTCTCTTTACCGTGGGGAATGTCTTTTGACTTTTGTCACTAGATGCAAGTTCTCCTCTGTGTAGAGGAACAAGATTGGGGCTTTAATGAGGATTTAGTTGTGTGTTGGCTTAATGCTACGTGTCCCAGAGCGAATTTCTTGTACATACTGAAAATACATCTTTTAAGGTTTGTAGTCAGTGTGTTCTTCTGGACATGTAGTATGTATCCAGTGACTGCAGGAGCTCGGTGTCTGTTAGAATAAGCGAACTACTTTTTTAGCAGCTTCAAAGCCACCCCTGGATCCCATCATTACTGTGGAAGGACTCCGAAAGCGGGTAAGCCGCAATCCAGTTGAATCAGCCATGGAGCTGAAGGAGAAGAGATCTCGGACTCAGGAAGCTAAGGATATTCGGAGAGCCCAGAAGGAGGCAGCCGGCTTCTTGGACAGGAGTACTTCCTCCACTCCTGTTAAATTCACCAGTCGCTGCCGCCGTCCCGATATCGTCCTTGAGAAAGGAGAGGTGATTGACTTCTCCTCCTTGAGCTCATCAGATCGCACACCTCTGACAAGCCCTTCTCCTTCCCCATCACTGGACTTCTCTGCTCCTGGCACTCCAGCCTCACATTCAGCTACTCCCAGCCTTCTCTCGGAAGCAGATCTCATCCCAGATGTCATGCCACCACAGGCTCTGTTTCATGGTAAGAGGCACCATGTTTTTTGTTTAGTAATGAACCACGTGTAGTTTTCTAGGAAGATACTCCCAATGAACTGCAGGATCTTTTCAAGATAAGACAGAAAGTAACTGGTAATATTGTTTGTCTTAATTGATTGTGAGAATTGACTAGTTTTCCATCATTGTATTACCAGCTTCTAAGGCCAGAAGAAACCCCCATTATTGTTTTCTGAGGGATCCTGAATAAATAGTGGGTAGATTTCACATGGCAACTGCTGCACCACTCAGGATTAGCATTTCACTGCAACACAGATTACACTGTTAGATAGCAACTCTCGTTTTCTCTCAAATGTTTTTAATGGGAGAAATTTTATTCTCGTGCCAATGTCCCAGTAGATTTATAAGTTTGAGCATCTTGATTAAAAGATGCTGAATTTGGGTCAGATTGCAAAGCAGTGATGCAGGCTGAATGCTGTTAGTTCCTTAAGGAGCCAGACCAAAGCACTTCTGGATGGCAGGAAAAATAGTGAGGTTCTGTAGAGGAACAGAACTTCTCCAGGATATGCTAGCTGAAGATGCAGCTCTCCAGCTTGACCATTTGATCCCCAGTCTTCAGGAATTTTCAGCAACTTAACGTTTGTCAAAGAGCATGAGCTTGCAGCTCAGGAAGGGGCTCTGTTTTCAGATGCTGAACTACAAGACACTTTAGGAACAGGAATGATTCTGTGGCCTGAAATTGGACTCTTTACAGTATCTCCTGTCCAAAATCAGGAGACCCAGAAGTATATAGAAAACAAAGTGTGTTGGCTAAAACCACATTGTTTTTCCTTAGCAGAAGAGTCCTGTGACAACCGTTTTTGAAATGGAGCTTTGATGTTTAAATTTTTTTTTCTCCCTGGATTATTTTGATCTGCCCAACAGATGATGAGGAAATGGAAGGAGATGGAGTCATAGATCCAGGAATAGAGTATGTGCCCCCTCCCAGTGGGACAGCCAGTGCTGGCACTCTGATAGCAAGCAGAAAAAAAGTGAAGACAGCTGTGCAGATCAAGCAAGAGGTGGAGAGTGAAGAAGAAAAAACAGAACGGATGGAAGGTGACAGTGAAGATCCTGAAGAGTCAAACACATTGTTGAAGGTGAGGGGACGAGACAAAAGAAAGCCACAGCTGGAGAAGGATGCTAAACCCAGAGCTCCCAAGCATACCTCTGTTAGTATCTATGAGGAAAAGCTGCTGCTGAAGAGACTGGAAGCCTGTCCCAATGCTGTGAGCATGACCCCAGAGGCCCGGAGGCTGAGGCGCAAGCTGTTAGTCAGGCAGGCCAAGAGGGAAAGAGGACTGCCAGTCTTTGACTTGGACCAAGTTGTGAACGCTGCACTGCTCTTGGTTGATGGGATTTATGGAGCCAAAGAAGGAGGTGTTTCCAGGTCCCTAGCAGGGCAAGCAACATACAGAACTACTAGCCAGGACTTCAGGATCTTGGATAGATACCAGGTGGGTGTTTCCAAATCTAAGTGAGCTTTTGGCATTGGTTATTCTAAAGCTTTTGCTACAGACAGCAGTGTCACATTGAGGTTATCTGATTCCCAAAATAAAAAGGATTATATGAACAAGACTCATTTTGACTTGGGGCTGTGTCCTCACCAATGCTATCTTAAGCCCCTTTCTTCTTGAGACATGCTTGTACAGCACAACAGTCTATCAGTGTCAGCACCACAAATGTTGATGTATTTGTACTTCAGCCCTGCTCAAGTGCTGATGATGGAGGTCTGAAGTACCCAAACAGGTGAATGCTCTACAAAGTATGTAGGAGGGAGATAACTTGCAGCACTTTTTTGAGTGATGAGGGCAGCTCATAGGCTTGGGCACTAAATCTAAGAGTGCACAGCAGAGTCCACAGAGTTGGGACCATCATGGTCCAGTCCATCCTGTCACATTGAAAGGCCCTTATTCTGCATCCATTGATATAATTCCCCTGTGTTAAATCATTGACTAATCTTCCTGAAATGTTCTGCATTTTTCTGTACGTATAGACTATGCTGCCCGCCATGAAGGGATATCGACAGCAGACAACAAAGTTTCTGTATCGACTGGTAGGCTCAGAAGACCTGCTGACAGACCACAGTGTTGTTAGCCCCTACACATCCCGTGTCCTGAAACCTTACATCAGGTACAGATGATCAGAGGTTGAGTTTGCTCTTGGCTTGTGTACCGACAGCCCACCGAGAGGACACCTTTCCTGGGCAGTGCTCCTTGCCCCTCCTCAAAGAGCAACCCAGTAACCCTATGGTAACTATGGTAACCCCAAAAGGATAGTTTTACTTAGCTGAGTAGTTAAACTGATTGCACTGGGAAGGGTAATCTACAAGAGAGAGCAGGGCAGAGAGAGAATTGCTGTAGTCATTCAATCCAAGTTGCACGTGCTCTTGGGTCGGAACCATGATTTCCTTGCTCCTGCTGTAAGGAGAGGCTGGCTGGGCATGCTGTGGATCTGGGAAATGTCCTGGCCTCTGACACAAGGGTGGGTGTTTTTCCTGAGCTGGGTGTTGTTTTCCCACATGAGTGGAAGACTGCTCTTTTTTTTGAAATTGAGCATGTCAGAAAATATTTCATGGTCAGTACCTATTCAGCTGCAGTGGCAGTTACTGTTGCTCACTCGCTTTTTGTGTTTGCTTTTCATGTTTCTGACAGGCGTGATTATGAGACAAAGCCCCCAAAACTCAGGCTGCTGGCAGAAATCCAGGCATATCCACACAGGAATGATCTCAACTGGAAGGCTGAGCCAGAAGCACCCATTGATTACTGCTATGTTCGCCCTAATCACATCCCCACTATAAACTCCATGTGCCATGAATTCTTCTGGCCTGGTAAGATTCCTTCAGTACTCAGTTTTCTAAGAAGGAAGTGGTTTTGTTCAGAAAAAAAACATTCTTGGGCCAAATTTTTCTTCTGTTGGTGTCTGGCTCGGTTCTTAGAAAACCATTATCTGATGTCACAGGAATGCATTTGAGATGGATACATGGGTTTGGTGTCTTTGTGTCTTGAAATCTGGGAAATTAGGCCCCTATTAGCACAACACTTACAGAAATAGGTGCCAATAGAAGTAGTCTAATAGTTTAGAAGTTAACTAAATTTAAGCATCCAGTGAAACATTTTTCAGAATCAGGGGCTGAAGTAAACAGTTCTACTGTTCATTGGCTTTGTGAGAAAGTTTCTTCCTAGCAGCCATTAGCTGGATATGTTGGAGTGAAATTTGGGAAGTCATATGAGGAGCGGCTGAGGTCACTTGGTTTGTTCAGCCTGGAGGAGACTGAGGAGAGACCTCATCATGGTCTACAGCTTTCTCACAAGGGGAAGCCGGAGGGGCAAGCACTAATCTCTTCTCTCTGGTGACCAGTGACAGGACCCAAGGGAATGGCACAAAGCTGAGTCAGAGGAGGTTTATGTTGGATATTAGGAAAAGGTTCTTCACCCAGAGGGTGGTTGGGTGCTGAGCAAGCTCCCCAGGGAAGTGGTCACAGCACCAAGCCTGACAGAGTTCAAGAAGCATTTGGACAATACTCTCAGGCACATGGTGTGACTCTTGGGGTTGTCCTGAGCAGGGACAGGAGGTGGACTCGATGATCCTTGTGGGTCCCTTCCAACTCAGGGTATTCTGTGCTTCTGTGAATTGCATTTACAACTGCAGGCTCTGCTGTGATGTCCTTTATTTCTTCAAGCCTCAGTATGTACTGGGTTTGAATTTTTATGTGTCATTTCTTGAACTGTAGGCTCTCTGGGGACAGTGGCTGCCCTTTATGGGGGCTGTCATGAGGCTGCAGTCTTTAGTTCTTCTGAAATAATAATAGGGATGTTCATCTACTGCATGGATCAGCTTTTGATCAGCAAACAGTGCAGCAGACTAATTTGGAAAGGCCCAGTACAAACAGTACACACCTTTATTTCAAGTAACTGTTCGCTTTATGTTTTGATTTGCAGACAGTGATTCAGCAGGGTTTGTAGTTCAGCAGTGCTCATATACTGCAGTCAGGATCAGAGCTTTCTGTGCTACTCATTGTCCAAATTGTACAATTCAGGGCCTTGCACACCTTTCTTTTCACAAGCTCTTTCAGAGCTCATGAGAAACACTTGCAATCTCAACAGAGGCTGAACCTCTTTGTCATAGTCTCTCCTCTCCTGATAATGCATTTGAAGTTCTGGCCAAGTTGCATTGCACCTTCATTAAGTTCTTCAGAACTCACCCTGTTTTATTTAACATAAGGAGCGTGGGTGACTGTGAACTGTTCATCATTAGATCAGAGAGCTGACACTCCCATCAGTCTCCAAACAGGAATCAAAATCTCTTCCATGGTGAAAAAGTTCTGAGGCTGGGGTATGATCATTGCACCCTGGTTCTGTTTTAGCAGGAGAGGTAAGTGAGGAGTCGATGCTTCAGGAGGTAAAGCCCAGTGTCTTTGTGGTTGCAAAGGATTTAACTTTCCAGTGGGCTGGTACAACCTGGGGGGCAGGTGGGGATATGCAGCTGGGTGAACCTCATTAAACTAGCACTGTTGTTTAGAGAAACACCTATAATTCTGCTTAAGTTTAGGCCTCTGGAGCATGTGGGCTCTGGGGATCATCAGTGAATGACATCCTAGGTGTGCTAAGTTGCCTAGTAGTGATGCTCTCATTGACCGAATTCATAAAATCTAGGCACTTCACCATGTGGGGTGAGCCCAGACCTTAGTTCTACACCTCCAAATCATTCAAGTCAGAGCTCTTTTTGCTTCTTACAAGGCAGAAACAAGTATGCAGGAGGTAACCGCAAATGAGCTGTTGCGAAGCAAGATTCCCCCATGTTGTCTCTCCCAGTATCTTGTGCCTTCATGCCCTAATGGTAAACATTTCCCGAGCAGACAAGTGGTAAACCATCGTGAGCTAAGCATCTTCCTACAGGAATAACTGTGTGCTGAGGGGATGGCACCATTTCATAGACACCAGTGCTCAAGGCAAGAAAGCGTTCCTGTACGGACACGCTGTAAGGCACTCCACAGGCAATTGCAGCCTTGAGATAATTAACACAGCTCCCTATTGCCAATCAATTCCTCCCACGTCTTGCTCCACCCAGCTTACTATCAAGCAAGACAATAATTCACCCACTTATTTGTGCCTGATACCTTATGAAGCCTTGCATCTCATCAAAAGTGATTACTGGAAAACATACTCTGCTATTTTGTTACCCCACATTCCAAGTATATTTGCAATTGCCAACCTGGGGCTGAAACAATTTTTTACATCTCCACTATGTCTTGCATCTTGTTTAGGGTCTGTCCACTCAAATTACCAAGCAGTCAGTCTTCAGTGTCTTGAACTGCAGTGCTTGACACTAACATGCTATGTAGATGCTCTAGGACTGCAGCAGCAGTGTGATTAGGCAAGGTGACAAACTCCACTCAGAAGTCACCAGCCTCGGGTGTTTGTGTCCAGGCTCTGAGTCACAGAAGCACCACTGCCTGAGAGGCTGCTTCGTGCCCCAGCTTAGAGAATTTGCATGCTAAAAGCAGATGTCTTGATAACCTTGAAAGCTGTGGTCGAGTATCACAGTGCAGCTCCACAAGCAGCTGAGTATGTACAAGAGGAAGCAGTAGGAGCTCAAGGCAAGGTGGAGAAAAGAGATAGGAACCATAGTCAGGTAATGCTACCAGAGTTGAAGCACAGTTTCATGTGTGCTGCCTCCAAAGAGAGCGAATTTTAAGTTTTAGTTTCATCCTTAAGTCATTTGAAAGGAAATTAGCTATGTTACTTTCTCCATGCAAGATTCACTGCTAGTAATCAGGTCTTATTTTGTCTCTGTTTTGTTGAATCATCTCCTTTTACCTTACATACCTAGCAGGGGAGATGCCAGGCAGCTGGTTTTCCCAAGGCAAGGTTCATCCCCTGCACTCTAGGTGTCCCAACCCCTGTGATTTTCCAAAATGCAGGAAATTTGACTGCATAATTTTTAGTAGTGGAGGACTGTTCTAGCAGGAGCTTTGGACCAGATGATCTCCAGAGGTCCCTGCCAATGCCAACTATTCTGTGATCTCTTTATATCAGAGCTTTGAAATAAAGGTAAAAAAGGAAGGGATCAAGTGAGTGTTTCTGAGAATCCTTAAACCCTGGAATTTCCATGCAAGTGGCTTGCAATGTTTTCAGCTGCTGTTTCTCCCTTTCTCCATAGGAATAGATTTGTCAGAATGCCTGCAGTATCCAGACTTCAGTGTTGTTGTCCTTTACAAGAAAGTTATCATTGCCTTCGGCTTTATGGTGCCAGATGTGAAGTACAATGAAGCTTACATCTCTTTTCTGTTAGTTCACCCTGAGTGGAGAAGAGCTGGGATTGCAACCTTCATGATTTACCATCTTATTCAGGTAATCAAACGGTCCCATGACTCTGCCAAAGAACTCTCTCTCCCTTCTTCCTTGTGTACACACATGCCAATATTAGAGAGTAAGTAGTGTAGTGTTCTTCCCTTCTGGCTCTTTCACCTTTCCCTTTCTCTGCTTACACTCCCACACAGATTGTCAGCAGCCAGTGTAAATATTTATGGGGGGAAATAACTTCCAAAGCAGAAGCTAAAATGTATTTAGAAGAACAACCATACTGGTCAGATCCTCAGAATCAGCAAGATGCTGTACACTTTGACTGGCTTGGGATTAACTTTGTGTTCTTCACTGGTCAATAGTTCATGTAAAAGTAATACTGTAAATGTGGAGTTTAAAGGAGAAAATGAGATAATAGTGGGCAGGTTCAATTAGAATCTATTGCAGCTTTCTTGGCTACACTTGGAGGTTTATTCCACGACCAGGGCTGTTGCATTAAATCAATTACTGATCTTAATAATTCACTTTGACTTTTAATACTCTGGTTCCAATACAGCTGAGTTGAAAATAAAGAGTGTGTGCAACCTCATTCACTTTGTTCAAACTAGCTTGTACTGGGCCTTCTTCCACAGGAACACTTGGGATAATTAATCTGAGCTAACTAAATGGGCGGTATTAACGTAGTTAAACTTCATTAAATATCTGAATCAGTACTGTTATTCAAGTGGCCTTAATTCCATTTACTTTCTTGAATTAAACTGTAGGAAAGCCAGCTTAATTTTGAGTAAGGATGCAGATATATATCTCCTTTTCGTAGCCTAACTGTGCCTCTTCAGGACCCACAGTTTTACCACTCCCTGAACTCTCATGGCAGAGCTGCTGATGGGAAACACTTCTTGTTTTAGTCAAGATGAGCTGCACTAACAAAACTCATGATTGAAAATGTTTTTTCTCTTATTTATTTGGCTGAAGAAAGGTAGGGAGTGCTGGCAGAGCCTTAAGAACAGTGATCTGTGCTTTGGAAAAGCAGTTTTCACTGAGAGTAGCTTCTCTGGACCATCCAAGGGTAACTCTTCTACCTGCACAGCTCTCTGCAGTGTCCACCTCTTTTCTCGATGTGTTGACACAGGCCACTAACCAATATACTTTAAATTCACTCCTTGCATTTCCCAAGCATCTCTGTGTGTTGAAGTAAATTGCCCTCAGCTGTAGTCTGTTGATGTGAGATGTCAACACCCAGTGAGAACACGTGCAAGCGATGCGCCGAGGTTTGCAGGGATCCAGCAGGTGGACTCTGGAAGACTGTCTCTCCAGCAGAGTTGGGATGCATTGGCAAGTCAGCTGTAGAAAATCCTTACACCTTTTTTGTAGGATGTATCACATCAAATTAACCTAATCCTGCTTGCAGGTAGACTAGCATAAAATTACCAAGTTCAGGAAAGCCAAGCAGATTTGAGGCTGATTAGGCTCACTAGCAATGAGATCAGCACTGTATGTTTGGCTCACATTAGATTTATTTTTCCATTGCTGACTTTTTGTCAGTGGTAGAAGGCATTTAGCCATGTAGGAGATTAAATGGTGGTTGTGACCTTCTGTTCCTCAAACACTAAGATTGTAGGTGCTGCTTCGCAGCCTGCTTGGGCTTGGGGTTTACTCTCTATAGCTAGAGACACTTTCATATGCTGTTCAGATTAAGAGTAATTCCCTTACTTTTGGATCAATGGGCTGAGGCTGGGGGTGAATTCTTGAGAAAAGCATAACTTAACAGGAAGTGTTTTGATGCAAATAGTAGTGACTGGTTTGCTCTCAGAAGTTACCCTCTAATGCATCTGCCCCAGAGGAGCAAACTGCATTTTCTTAATGATCTCATTCAAACTTCCTTTTCCCCAAAAACCTGCTCTGAATTATTTCTTCTTTTCCTTCCCTCCTTAAATCCCCTGTGAGAGCTTTACCTTTGAATGTTCTGCCTTGGAAATTTTCTAAAGGATTTTACTGTTCCCACTTACAGTTACAATACATTCCATATACATAGAATGCTATTAAAACACTTGATGAAAGCAGAAAAAAATTACTTCAGCGTCTTTATCAGTGTTGCTAGTTAAAATAATTTGGTATCTTCAAGGTAACTTCAGCCATGCTGTTTGCTGTCTGAACTGGATTCCTGCCTTCCCAGTAGGTGGAGTGCTGTGCCCTGAAGGATGGGTGAGGAGCTGGGTGGAATAGTTAGGAATTCTAGTGTGACAGCCCAGAGATGCCCTGGGGCTGCTCCAGTGGTCACAGAGAGCTCAGCTTTGTTTGCTGATGGGGAGGAGCACAGTAAGGTGCCTGATCCTCTGGCATGTTTTGTCTTTTCTTCAGGCAGTTGTTAAGTATCTGAAATCGGTGCTGTACACTGAGATTATTTTTAATTAACAATTACTTTAGTAATTGACAATGGAAAGATGACAAATTATAATCCCAAACCTGCTTTCATTGTCAGAGAGTCCATGTTTCCCAGAAACAAAGGCTTGAAGGAACAGCAGCGTTCCCTTTGCCTTTGCTCTTGCTATGTGTGGTAATTTCTGTGTCGGGGCCTCCAGTTTTTCTCACATTTCCTCAGTAACTTGAATACCTGAACTGATGAATCTCCTCACCTCTGCATTCCCTCAGAGGCTGTCTCATTCTTTCACTGTGGTATCTTCTTTTTTCATTTCCCCCTTCCCTTGGCAGACCTGCATGGGCAAAGATGTAACTCTTCACGTCTCTGCAAGCAACCCTGCTATGCTGCTCTACCAGAAGTTTGGATTTAAGACTGAGGAATACATTTTGGATTTTTATGATAAATATTATCCCTTGGACAGCAAGGAGTGTAAGCATGCATTCTTTCTCAGGCTGCGGCGCTAATCTGTCAGAGCTGTCTGGGGATCTCTGAAAAGCCTAATCTGTCAAAAAAACTACCGCAGCTTTCAGTGGAGGATGTTGGCTGTCACATGAGAGCTGGAACACACCAGTGGATTTCAACAGTGCTATGTTGTGTGCTGAAACTGCAATCCAAGAGGATTGATTCCTGTGCTCCAAGGGCAGAGGCCTGAAAATGCCAGCTGAAACCACTGGAAGACCGAAATTGTTTATGGGGAATTTTCCTGGCACTGTTACTTTGAATAGCCTCATTGACAAACAAGCAAAAAAATATTTTTCAGAGGAGCCCCATGGATTTCAAATCTTGAAACCTGTCAAAAAAATGCTGCAGGTTTTTAATTTCTTTTTTTGTTTATGAATGAAAATGAACCTCTAAACTTAAATCATTCAATGTTTCTGTAATTTGATTGCTTTGCTAGGAACCATGTCTTGAATCTGTGAAGAGAAATGAGATATTGGTGCATGTAGCTGGACAGTAACTTCAGGAAAGCTCTACATGTGCCAGAACAGTTGTACTGGAACCATGTTTTAGGAATAGTAAAGAGTGTGTGAATTCATGTGATTTCAAATACAAGGCTCAGAGAAGACACCTTTCTTCTGCTCCTTCCCTGCTGCCTTCCTTTCGCCTTGTTGACCCTGTGCTCAAGTGTGAAGTTCTTGCAGTGCACAGTATTTTGTGTTCAGGAACAAGGTGTCATGTGGGTTTGTATCTAGGCAAGATAGGATACCATACCTGCCAAATCAGCCCTTTGAAATCTTACAACCTCTCTGCCATTGTTGGTGCTGGCACAGTTGTTGGCACACCTCTAACCATAGAGCCAGCCTTGCAGGCTCCAGCATCCACCTCCTCCTGCTACAGGCACTCTGGATAGAAGAAACTCAGAAAAGTGCGTGGTGATGTTTGAAATGCAGGCTGATTTGTAGAAGCAATCTGCTTGCAGCTTGGAGGGAGGAGAAGGTTAGAGGTAGGCCGGATCCAGTTCTTGGAAGCACCAAGGCTGTCATTTCATGGTTCTAAGTATAAGTAAAAAGGAGAGCAAAGAATAAATAGAAATAACCAAGAACGAAAGAAAATACAAACCCCAAATGGTTTCTCTGGTAGTGGGCTCTTCTCCTTTTATGCAGTTTAGTGGCTTTTCTCTCCCTGACTTTCACTGCAGATGAACAGAAAGCAGTACTGACCAAAGGTCAGTCTGTGCATTTTCACTACGGATCACATCCACTGTGATGTTCCTTTCACATCAAGCCTACAAAGAACTACACACCAAATGTGACTTCTTTGTTCTTAATCCACTGTGTGCCTGTTGGCTACCTGGCCACAGTAGAAGTTGCCTTAACAGTCTTCATTTTGGTAACAGAAGAGAAAGGGACACAAAGTATGTTTTTGTGTAGTCAACATACATCATCACCAACACAAAAACAGTGGGAGTGGGAGGGAAAAACGGGCCATCCAAGGGTTGTGTACCCTAACATTCATGCACATTTCTGCCTGCTTTATGACTGTGTGAAAATTTTTGATGTTACTTATGTTACAAGTTAGCTGTACTTGGAAAGAAAAAAAATACCTGTCTTTATGGATGAATTAAAGCCCTTCCCTTGGAAAAGCCTACCTGTAGTTGTACTGTTTGTTAAGCTGTCTCTCCATCATATTTCATTGAAATCTAGCAAACTCAAAAATGGCTGACAGAGGATGTGTGTGGGCAGCTGACCCAGGCAAGAAACTCCTTATTTCCCCACTGGACACCTGCACAGAAGCCACAGCCATGCAGGCCTTAGCAGGCTGTCCCTTTCCAGCCAGAATTGGGAGATACAGGATAGTCTGAAGAAGATGACCAGTTCTGCATTGCGTTCTCAAAGGTGACCATGAAGATTTTGAGCACCTGCTTGCTCTGTGCCTATATCTCCCAGGCCTTGTCCCTCAAAAGGAAAATGCCAAGTGAAGAGGGTGTTATAACAGACCTGGGATACCTGCTGTGCTGCAGACAACTTGTCTTATCCAGGTGCTTCATTTACTCCCAGATCCTCAAAGGCAATGAAGTGATTAAATGCCTTTGAGCCTTTGCACCTCAGCTGTTTTCCTTTTTCAGGAAGACTGGTAAGAATAAGCTCAGTAAAGTTTACAGGGAATGGAGATCAGTATCACTATTTTGCTTGTTTCTTGCTAATTTGCCCACATTTCTGGGAAAATGAGTTAGTTAACAGCTATACTTATTATATCCCACACTCTCAGGACTGGGAGATCAAGTGCTACCTTTTGTGCTTTTGTAAACTGCACACCCTGTTCATTCATGCTGCCTGTGAAAATGTGGTGTGCCTTTGAATTGCTTACTATGAGATCCTTCCCTGATGATACTAATGGCTTTGGTGGTACAAGTGTGGCTGACTCAAGCATCACTTCACTGATAGTCAGGGTAAAGGTGAACAGCCATGACCCAAGAACTTTCTGACTTGCAAAGAGATCCCAGCAAATCAGATCTGAAAAACAGTGGTGAAAACTGCAGTATTCGTGTGTTATTTTCTCTTGGCAACTCAAGCTGTAGGAAACATTTGCTTTTATTCTACTGGCTGTAGGGGTGAGCACGGAGGCACTGTTGGGTGAGCAGGAATTCACCCCCGCTTTCAGCAAGAGTCCCAAGGACAGGAGGCTGAGGCCAGCATCCTGACAGGCACCGTGTGAAGTTAGGTGTGCAATCTGATAACCTGGGGAAATGCACCGGGGCTGCCAGGGAGCTCTACTTGTCTTCACTAGGTCAGCACCAGAACTTGGCAGCCTTTGAAGTAGCTATAAAATAGCTGTTGCAGCTCAATCTCTCTTTTGTGGCTGCACAGGGATCACTTCAAGCATCCTCTCAAGATAATGTTTCCTCCCCATAATGTTGAATAATGAGAAGTTTAAAGGCCAGTGCTTGAATGGCCATGGATTTCTCTGCAAGGGATGAGGCTCCTAGCCCTCCGATTCCCTCTTTGTGCCCTGGAAACCAGGGTGATTTGTTACCTTAGCTGTGATTAAAGAGCCAGCATCCACCCTGCTTTATGACACGACTACTCCGTGCTTCCCTGACCTGTGCAGTGACTGTAGCAGAGATTAGAGTTGCCAAACACAGCTCAGTTTAACAGAACAAAATTTTCCTGGAGGATGAAGGTGGAACCTCACCTGTTCCAAAAAGGGCAGAAAAGCCCATGCACTTCCATGGCCTTGTCTGAGCTTTGATACTTCACAACCAGGAAGCAGCCTGCTGTAGTCACCTTATTGTGCCCATTCATCTGCTATAGCTGAGCTGGGTAAATAGATCATTCTGCATAGTAGTCATTAATTTTGTAGAAGTAATACTTTGCACTTTACTTTGAAAGAGAAGTCCTGAGTGTCCTGATGTTGCACACGTGTCAGATGCTTCTTTTCAGATTTCAGATCCGGACTGGGGGCTGAAACAAAAGTCTGCTTGGTCCATTCATTGCCACCTATAGTGTGAGGATGTGCTGCTTTGCAGACCCACCTGCTTGTGATGATAAGCTCTTAGTGAGTGGTTGAGCTAAGCCGTCTTTATCACTTGTCTCTGCCAACCTGGTCCGCAGAGTTGCTTCCCTCTAGCCCTTGCGTTCTTTCTGGAGGAGACACTCTGAACAAACACTGCCTGCTGCATCACACAGCTCAGGAATCTGAGCTCCCGCTGCTGTGACGGATGAGTAGCCAGGTCGTCCCTGCAAAACCAGCGAGACAAGAGTGCTCCGTCCTGCTTTCTTCTCCAGACAGGCAGCGTTAGCCAGGCAGGGACAGTGAGCTCAGCCGCTCCCGCTGCCCGCGGGAGTGGAAAGGCGGCTACCTGGGGCAGGAACAAGTAGCCACTGTCGCGGAGGAGCGGGAGCATCCCTGAGCGGGCTTTGCCTCAATAGGAGGCAAGAGCAATCCCGTTGTGCTTCTCTACCAGCTCTGTCAGCACAAAAACCCATGGCACCTTCCTAGGAGTGTAATTAAAAAAAAAAAAAAAGGTCGATCTGGCAAACTTATCCTTCTTCCCCTTGGATTTGTGCTGGGGCTTTAAAAACCCCACAGAACAACAAAACATTCCTCCTGGCTCATGCTCTCGGACTCCTCGGGATTTCCAAGGCTGCCGCTGGCGCTGGAGGGCGGTAGAACCGCCCCGCTCCCGCCCTGCCCCGCGCCCGCCGCCGTTTGAACAGGGACATGGCGGCCGGTGCAGGGCCGGTGGTGCTGCCCGAGGAATGGCGGCTGTACCTCGTCTCCTCCCGAGTCGCCACCTTCCGCAACTGGCCCTTCACCGAGGGCTGCGCCTGCACGCCCGAGCGGGTGAGCCGGGAGCGGGAGCGCGGGGCCGAGGGAGCGGGAGCGCGGGGCCGCGGGAGCGCGGGGCCGAGGGACCGGGGCGGGCAGGCGCTGACGGGACCTTCCCGCCTTCCTTGTGCCCGCAGATGGCGGCGGCGGGTTTCGTGCACTGCCCCAGCGAGAACAGCCCCGACGTGGCGCAGTGCTTCTTCTGCCTCAAGGAGCTGGAGGGGTGGGAGCCCGACGACGACCCCCTGTGAGTACGGGGTGGTTTCCCTGGCCCCCTCCCCGATCGGCGCCGCTCCCGATGGCGGCGCCGCTCCGGCAGCGGGAAGCGCTGCTGACAACCGAGGTGCTCGGCACGGGAGAACAGCTGCGTGTGGCTTGTTGGGAGCTACTGTCTTCTATTTTCTCTTTTTCCCCCCCCCTCTTTTCAGGGAGGAACACAAAAAGCACTCTGCGGGCTGTGGTTTTCTTTCCCTTCAGAAAGAGCCTGCTAACCTGACACTACAGGAGTTCCTGAAGCTGGACAAAATGCGAATAATAAAGGCAATTGTACGTACACAGCGTACACAGAGACCGTAATGTGTCTCTAACCCCCCGTGATGTTGGAAGAGTTACTTAGTTCCTAGTCTTGGGATTGTTTAGCTGGACTCCTTGTTCCTTATCACTGCGCTGCCAAAGTGTTTTGTTGCTTCCAGACTGGGGCTGGATGAGGTGGTGTGCCCATTCCTGGTTCTCAGTCTCTGCTCTGTGCGAGATGTAGCCTGATTTCCCCTTGAAGCTCGACGATACTAAGTCTTCTACTTGGTAGTAGGCAGTAATGTACTATTTTCACTTTCTGCAGAAAAAAGAGATTTCTCAGAAGATGACCGAGGTTGAAGATGCAGCCAAGAGCACGCGTTCTAAAATAAAGAATCTGGCCTAGACTGCTGCAGCTTCACACTTGCTAGTGACATCTTTCTTGTAAATGTACTGTGGCACTGCCACTGTGACTGAACGGCCGTGTTTCCCAAGGCTGCTTCCAGATTGGCTGTCTTGAGAAGCAGGCTGAATTCTGCTTCACTCACCTGAGTCTGTCTAGGAAGTACCTGCGGTTTGATATATTGGATACGTAATCTTTCTCTGCATGGATTCTCCTAATCTTCCTGTTGGTTTTATTAAGGATTACTACTTGTAGGTTTACTTGTTCTCTTTATTCTTTTTTTTTTTTTGAAACCCAGCTGTTTAGAGATATTGCTGTATTGTAGAAATCCTGGTAGCTCTAGTGTTAAAACATATTTCTGGCAAGAATTGACAGGCATTTCCATTTTTGTACTGAATATACCAATGCTTTAGGATATTTTGGGACATGAAAAGGGGAAGGATTTTTAAAAATCCTTCAGGGATTTAGGATTGTGGCTAATAACATTGAGTTATACCAAAGCTTAGTGTGCCTGGTATCCCTGCAAACTTCTACTTGTAGTTGGCTGCTGCCTCGTGTTGATCTATGTATAGATAAAAGTTTAAGGCAGAACAGCAAAGTAGTTTTACTCGATTTTCTGGAGGAAAGGAATCTGACCTTCAATGCAATGGGCTGCACTGAATGCAGTTTAGCATTAAAAGGGAAAATAAGATCATCAGCCTCAGTGCTGTTACCCAAGTGTCAAACTTTTTTAAGCAGCATTCATCAGGCATTAAAGACATTTCAAAGACATTCAAATTTATTTGTGCCTGGGGAAGGTTTGGTTTGTCCCTTTCCTTGCACAAGTTTGGAAAGGAAAAGAAATTTGCAAAACAGAGTGCAGTCAGTGAGAAACTGTGCTCTAAACTGCTGGAAAGGAATGGGAGGAATCTTGGAGAAAATATTTGACTGTTACAGGGCCCAGTCTGATCATACAAGGGGCATGAATTTTGCAACAGAACTGAACACACTTGATTACATGCTCCCAAATTCAAGGAACCTCCAGCTCTATTTTCAGAAAAAGGTTGTTGTAGTAACACGTTGACGACACCAATGTTCCTGAGTTTCATAAATTTGTCCAACGTTCTCTGTCCAACCTTACTTGGAACAATGAAATAACCTCATTATTTCCAGTTGTAACAGCCAAATCATATGCTGATTGCCCTTCTGCGTTCTTCTTTTGTGTGTTTGCATTGCAGCTGTAAATAAAGAACAAATTGGTTTCAAATACTTAAATTCATTTCAAGTTACTGGACTTTGTGAAATGGCTTGTAGATAAATGTTGATGTGGAGTAACTTCAGAATTTCTGTGTGCCTCTTCCTGCAGGGACAGTGATAAGACCACTGAGCCTTGGACAGGCTCTGGCCCTTCAGTAGTCCCAATTAGGTCTGTGCAGGCAGGCTGTGGGTAGCCTGCAGCTGAGCTAGAAGCCCAGCTTACAGTACATACCGTAACAGGACTCGGATGCTCTCCTGTCCCTCCAATCCAAGCAGAACTGCCTCATGGAGAGCTGTGTTGTTGTGCCTGGATAGGAGGAAAGAACAATGTACTTATTACCAAAGGAAACTGTCCCAGTACATGTCTTAGCATATAAAACTAAGGAAAATGAATAGGATACAGAATATGCTAGAAGTGTGGTAGGCTTTAGTGAGGTTTATCATATTAAATGGATGGGGGAAGGAACTGAATAGAACAGCAGCTTTTGTAACAGCAGTTACGAGAAGTCTTCAAAACTGCCAACTGAAAGAAGGACTGTGGATACTGTCCTTGAAAGGAGCTCCTCAACTACAGATTTGTGTCAAAGGAGGGGTGGGAGGTTAGTTCTAAAACTGGAGCATGTGTGCTTTTTTTTGGTAAAACTTCAAAATACCCAAGGCAGAGAATCAGTGCTCACTCACAGTCCTGACTGCTGGTCTATGTTGGCACCTTTCTGCACAAGGAGGGAGATTGCTTCTGTGTGCTTGTTAAGGACAGCAACTGTGAGAGCAGGTTGATCCTCGTCGCTGATGCAGTTTGGGTCAGCTCCCTAGAATGCACAGCAGAGGGAAGGTGAGCTGTTAAAAACCATACAGATTCTTCAACTTCCACGTTGCTTTAATATTATGCCAATTCAAGTTGGCAAGTGGGCTTTATGCTCAAGAGAGAGAAATGTTAAAATTGTGTTGTTTTGTTTCTTCATGTTTCTTCTGAAAAGGTTTGTCATCTCCTAGCTCAAGGCCAGAGTAATGTATATAATAGCAGTCAAATTAGATTCCACAGTCAGGGTGCACCTTGCCCTACCACACAGCAAAAACTTAGAGGTTATGCTTGCTTTTTCTATAGAGAGGACTTGACCCTAAACTACAAAACTTTCTGTTTGGCCTTGACAAACAGAGAAGAATGCCTTATGCACCCTAGAAATTTGGGGAGAACATATATAAATGTAAAATAGGTCGCATCTTCTCAAAAATGCTCTTTTAATCTGAAGACTATTATGAGACTGTTGCCTCCTAGGCATAAAGCTAAAGTTGTACACCAGGCTAATATTTATTCAGTAAATGGTCAAAGAATTGAAAAGGGAAACTTCAGCAAGCAATAACTTACTTCACTGAGCAATTGTTCTATAAAAGTGATTCTTCCTTTTCCATTTGGACCCAGTTCATCCAGTAGTTGTCTGGATTCTGGCTGTGGAGACACAGACAGTAACATTTCACATAGTGAAAACTGGGCCATATCCTGCCTTTGAGTAAAGGTGAAAAATGCACACAGTGGCTCGAATGCAATGTATCTGAGCCTCATTATTGCTAATCCATGACTCTTCTTTGGGAATGTCTTTTTCAATATGAGCAAGTGTTTGGTAACCCAGGCTAATACCTCACTATTGAGGTCTTGACTCAGCAAATGTGTCTGAAAAATATTAGGTTTACATCAGTGCAGCTCTCCAGGGCTGTATAAAGATCTGCTCAGCCCAGTAAAAGTGCTATATTTAGGATTAAAATTTGAAGCTTCCAGAATTTGTGAAAGTATTTTATTTAAAAAGTGCATATGTTTTTTCTCACAGAAGTTAGTTTACTAAATCTTAAAACAACAAACAATAAAATGTAAAACCTTTTCCTTTAATTTCTTCCCAGGCTTCCACCTCCTTCTTCTCCAAGCATTTTCATCTCTGGACTCATATCACAGAGCTACGTATCTTCTCCCACCTGTTGGGATGGCTAACTGTTCCAAGCTTAGATTAATGTATATTTCCCTTTTGAAACTTTCCATGTCATTACTGACAATCGGTTTAGTAGGCTGTTCTTTTAGGAAGTTTGGTCTCTAGTGGAAGTGAAGCCTTGCTTCTGGAATTAAACTAGGCCTCAATTATGCTGACATCTCAGCTTAATGGGAAAATGGAGTTGACTTAAAAGCTTGTTAGGTAGATCATCTTCTCCCGCCTAGTTCATAGACATAGTGTGCCAACAGTAGTTCCAGCACAGTACATCCTCAGTGGAGTCAAACATAGTAAAGTCAAGGGAAGATGACAGTGCCTTCATCTGATACTGCTTCTGAAGAAAACCTACAACAGAATCAGTCTCCAACAGTGTTTAGGCCTAAAGTACAACGGGTATTGGTAAAATACAATGGATTCAATAATGAGAGAAAAAATCTAATTAAGCTCTTAGTAGGAAAAAAACATAGTTATTTTCAGTTCTGTAATAAATGTCAGTTACCAATGTTCAGGTTTTATATTAAGCTGGACTTTTACGCCCCGCCCCAGTCAAGGTTAAAACCTTTCTATTTTAACCCTTGAATGCCCTCCTTCATGTTAGTGCTGCTTTATAAATACTTTTTCTTGTATTTGCAGAAGATACTTACAGAGAGCTTATCTTCTTGTCCTGTAAGTGTTCTTGACTTTGTTCTCTTTATTTTGCCTCTTGAATGGAAAAGATTACAATCATCTTTGCCTACCAGAAAGGAAAACAAGTGTTAATTCAAAGCAAAGTCAGTATCCTAACTAGAACTTGTGGGAGAGGTCTGGAAATAATTTATCCACAAATAAAGCAATATTTATCAGTTTTCCACATGAGAAAGTGATGAAATATTTGTTGCAGATCATAGTGGTTTTAACAAAAGTTTTATACTCAGGCAGTCTGAAAAAATTGCTATTTTGAAATGAAGATTCAATGAAATGTGGAGTTTGGGGTGGTGGTTTCTTTTCTAACTAGCTGCAGCTATTCAACAGTTTTGACTCAGATTCATGAATTGTTTTGTCCAAAAACCTTATAATTTTTCAAAGCAGTCTGATTTCCAAATACTTAAGAACAAGACTAGAGGATCATGAGTAGATATGTATGGCCATTATTTTCAAGAGACATAATCTATCCAGTGTGCAGGAGGGTTGAGAAGGAAATTACGCAGCATGTGAGGATCATTTGTGAGGATCCAAGTGCCTGGAATCACAGTCACATTATTAACACTCCAAAAAACCAGCTCCCAGTGCCATGGCTGCCTCTTGCCAAGTCTCAAATTGGAAGCACAAAGTGGATGAAACCTATATGGGAATTGAAGCATGTGAAATGATTCTATAGCAATTTCTGAATTCTAATGCTGACTTAACAACCAGTTGATTTAAAGAAAATCTAAATCCAATATGAGATGCCTAAAATGCTGAGCTCTTACTGACACCAATGGGAGATGCAAGTTAACATCATCTGTGAAAACTAGGTCTAGAATTAATGTATTTCATAATTTCTTATCTTTGCCAAATATGCCCCAGCTGAAGTCTGTGGCACAGCTCAGAAGCAGAGATCATATTGATATTTATGGCTCCTATTGTAAAAGAATATGGGAAACATCTAAAGTTTTATCGCTATAATAAAAAAACTGCTATGAGCTATGGCTGCAGTTAACTGGTCTAAGCTGCTCTCTAGGGATGAAGGATTCCTAAGAATTTTTGAGAGAGTCTGTATGTTACTTAAATCTCAACTTGGACACATTTTGAAACTTCAAGATCAAGTTAAGCAGGCACAGAATATCCCAATATAGTAGCTTACCCACCTCAGTGTCTAAGCTTCCAAGCATTACTTCTTTATTCCTGACTGCTATATTTATGGTCTATTGTAAAGACAGGGGAAAAAAAATCTCACCAAAACTGGTCTGATTCCTATCCTGTCCATCTCTGACTTCTGTTACAGTATTCAGGTAATGACTGCTGAACTTCACTGGTTTATTAGTATGAATATCCTGTAGAATCATCAAATGCAGGCAGTTAATAAGATTATCATGTGATGTTATAATCTTGCTGTGGCACAAAACAGTGCTGTTTGCATATAGGAAAATACATAGGCTTTTAATATCAGTGTCAAATTACCACAAGACATTATAATATGTAATTGAACTCTGTTTTGAGGCAATATAATGTAGCAATTTTTACTAAACCTTGTGAAAGGTATTTGTTTTGATTTAGGAAAAAACAAGGTGATACAACCTGACTTAAAGAAATGAAGATTCTCATCCAAATGAAAGTGTTTCTACCACTTGAGAGATCTGATTAACTCCTCACTTCTGAAATGATGTGATATACCTTTTCAGGCCCCACATCACAAAGTAAGCTTGCTAAATTTCTACAAAAGAGATATAATCTGAATTTTGGATTTTTGAAACAGTAGATTTTCATCTTTGAAACGCTGGAAATGAGGGTGGATTTTGGAACATGGCAATTCTGGAGATAGGGATTCCAGATTCTGAATACAGTTAACAGGAGCTCCAACAAACATTATCTCCAAACTAATTGAAAAGTACTAAGCTTGTTTCTTAAGAGCACAATTTGCAGGCTGAAGAGAAGCAGGATCTAAGATCAAAAGCTCACCATCAAAAGCTAGAATCATCAAACAACATCAGCTGAAAGAATAATGTTAATAGCAACTAACGAAATAGCAACATAACCATGAAGTCTGGCTTAATCAGATAAAGATACCTGTTCATCCAGCTCCAACAGAGAAAGAAAAAGATTTTTTTCTCTAAAGTGATAAGTTATCACCCTCTGAATAAAAGAATTTCTTGTTTAGACCCAAATTTAAAATGTTACACTTACTGGTCTAGTGACAGCTTAATGCCAGCTGCCTATCAAAAGGCCCCATCCCCTGAACTGACCTTGTTAATAGCAAGAACATAATTCAGTGTAATAGTGACTTCATAGTCATCCTCACAGATGGTAGCAGAATTAATCTAGAAGGAAAGAGCAGCCATTAGTACCTCTTACAAAAAAAATACACAGAAAGAGTTTTAGGAATAAGTTTTGATGCTGATGTTTCTTATCAAGCCAATGCACAAAATCACATGTGGCCTTTGCCTGCTTGTGATACTGTAACCAACACTTCCCATGTAACTGAGAAAGGGGCAGGTGTCTTTTGAGCAATTCAGAGTAACTGAAATGCCAAGTGAATCCAAAAGGTGTAATGAGGCTAAATTTCATGATACTTCAGTCATTCTCCACCAAGATTTTGCAGTTGCATGGAAGGCTGTGTCATTTTTGGGACTCCCAACTCCAGGAGAATTGGTTACTGATCTAGAAACGCCAGTTTGTGGAAGCACAGTGTGTATTAAAATCTGAGCAGCTTTGTATATCAATTCATTCAGACAGTACTGCTGGCAACAAGTCTATCGAAGTCATACAAAAATGAGTGTAAGGAGGATTATAAAGAAGTGGAATGAAGCTCAAAATTTATATTGCAGCTGGTTGAAAATTTTGAGATAAGGTTATTTATTATATTTCTAATCCAAATGAAAAACTGAAAAAGTGGCATTAAATCCAGATAGTTAACATCTGCTTTGAACCACTTCTGTTACTTTTGGGGGCAGTGGTTTCAAGACAATAGAATGACAACAGACCAAGAAGCAGCAGGAGTAGCCTTCTCTAGGCAATTTTATATTTTTCAGGCCTATCCTTTTGAATCCTCTAGCAAAGGAAACAAGTTGCAGTGGACCTATACCCCAATTCTATTAAGCAGATATTCTAGTTATAGTTGTACTACAGCTTCTGAACATACTGGTGGACAGTAGGTCTCAGTGGATATAGATTCAGGTGCAGAGTATCTACTGGAGTCTAATCCCTCCCCAAAGTGTAACTTGACAAATGACAATTACCTTTCTGACCCCCAGTACTCATGAGCCTTTCTGTAGTTGCTTCTATGTGCTAAAATTGGGGGAGAGGGGATGTACTGGTGTGTCACTTCAGTTAGGACAGGCTAAGAAATACTGAGCTTAAATTGTAACAGGGGAGATTGAGATCAGACACTTCCCAGTAACTATGCCAGTTCAAGGAGTTCCCAAACCCACTTCTGCCTGCATCCCACCTCCAGCTGCTCACTGCCAGCTTACTTTGTACTAACACTGGTGCCCCTTTTTACCTCCAGAGCTGTTTTTAGCCTAGGGCAGTCACTGATCCTGTTCACAGGACTTTGCCACAAGTGGCTGTGCTGGCAGCACATTGCTGGAAGCAATGTGAGAGGATGCAGCTACCAAAGAAAGCAATACAGTACTGCAGCTGAATAGCAACAATAGCTGAGTGCAGAAAAGGACTGTGTGGGCCAACTGCAAAACCTCCATTGTTGGTAAGTTTGAAAAGCCTCAAGAGAAATATCAGTCAGGAACAGTTTAGACAGTTGATCCTCCCTCAAGTCAGAGACCAAATGTTCTCTGACTCATACCAGCCCTATCTTCTAGGACTCTTTGGGAAGAAATTCCAGTTTGCACCTTCTTGCTGTCACCCCTTTAATCATTTTAATGCAGTTTGGTGACATCCTGAAGACTACATCTCCAGTAAGAAAAGCACTATTCTGTTCCTGTAAAACTGGTATAGTTCACACTAAAAGTAGACTGTATAGCCAAAGAGAATAGCTGCTGTCTGCTGCTATCAGCCTGGAGCAGAGGCAAGCACATCATTGAAATCCCATTTCTAGCAGGGCTTATTTAACTGAGCAACTACACAGATGCCATTGATCTCTTCTTTTTCTTGATTGCCTTCTGGGGGGTACTATAAAACAGCTGAGCAAGGGCTTTCTCACTTTCCTTACAGCTGTTAGGTAAAAGAAGAATAGAATTAACAATAGGAAAGAGAGCAGAAAAAAATCTTCAGTAGAAGACTGAGCAAAAAATAGAACAACAAAACAATACAAATTACACACACAAACAGGTCAACATCTAAAGAAAAGGGAGACATTTATTTTTCCAGAGTTTATCTAGCAGCTACAATAATCTTTTCATGACCCTTCATAGGAAGATATTACTCACAACCTCCTTCCTACCTTTCCCATTCGAGGTTCTCCAATCAGTGCTCTGAATTCAAGGTTGTTCTGAGCATAGCTTCTAAGGTGAGCACAGACATGATCCAGCTGTTTTCTCCAGTAACCTGATCAGAGAAAGTTAAGCAGGAGAAAAATCCTTAAAATGTGATTAACATCTGTTCTAGTTAAGTGATGGAAGATTTAAAAGATAGCATAGTTTCACCGAGATACAAAAAATATTTGAATTTTTTTTGGTAGAAAGTTCATCTAATCAAGAAAATGAGAAGGAAGTTACACCCTAAAAAAACCCAGGTGAAACATTATCTTATTCATAGGTTATAATTCATCCTTTGGGCACCTTTATTCACAACAAAATTATATCTTGGATGTTCCTTGGGAGTCAAAACTAGTCCAATGTGAAGGTAGAATCTCACACTAACCCAGATCATAAGAAAAGGAAAAAGTAAAATATTACAATTAAGCAATTATGTATTATTGAACCGGTTTTTAGTTGATTTGGAATAACTGACAGGTAACAATAAGCCAAATCTGAAAACTGCAGATACAGAAACTCAGCATATACAGCATTCTGGTCTGTGTAAGTTATTTTCCAAATAAATTCCTTTCAATTATATATGTGAGAGCTTATTAAAAGCTTAAGCATTCCTGCTCTTTTGCCTGTCAGAATCTCTGGGAGAGAGTCAGCATTCCTTTATGTGGATAGAAGGCATGAAACTTGAGAGGCTGAATGCGCCTGGATTAGAAACTCACCTTAAGCCATTTAGAGTTTTTTGCACCTCCTGTCCAAGCATTTTGGGAGCTACATTCTCTTTTCATCAGGGAAAGAAACAAAAGGACTTGTTCTTATTCTTAACTGATTGTTACCAGGATCTGGCTTATTTTCGTTTTTTAGCATACTTATGGAAAGTACAGAGCATGATTAATTTCATTGTAAATAAATTGTGTAGGCTTGGTAACCTCATTTAACTTATACAATGAAGGTGTTCTGACCTTCTCCTTTCCTTCAAGTTAAGTGAAGCCCCAAACAGTGTAAAGAAACCAAGCCAGAAGGAAAGTGCTGCTCTGACTTTTACAAGAGAAGGCAAGTGCACACAGACTTTTGTGCTTGGAAGACTCTTTCAAGATCGAACTGGTGTGTCAAACTAAAACAGCAGGTCTTATTTGTTAAGCAGCTTTAAAGGAATATAAAAAGAACGATCCACAGAACAACATAAATTTTTCCCTGCCATGGTCTCACAAACAAAAACTAATAGGAAGTATTAATTAAAAAATCTAAACTAGACTACTACTTGATGAGCAATCTATCCAGAGAAGTCAGTAATATTTGCAATAAATTGGTTCATAACTAGATCCCCAGATATTATTTCAAAAAATCCAGATGATTAGAAACATATTCTTGCATGGTTGATGTTTTATTATAAGTCAAAGGAGTTTTTGGCAGCACTGATGGAATACTTGAATCCATGCTGCCAATAGTTGATTACACCTACATCACACTGATTTAATGTTGTAAACTTTACTTCTTTGTACAGTTCACCTGGTAAATTTCTTGACTCCTGATCATAACAGACTGAAAATACAGCAAAAAAAAAATAGAGTACACACCAGAGGATTAGTGATTTGATACTGCTGTCGTTTCCCCCTCTCTTAACTGCTCTGTAATTTTTTTAGTCTTCACAAAAGGAAAGAAGGTTAGTTAATGGCTGTTATGGTCAAGAAATAATAACCCCCCCACATCTTATTTAATCACTTGTATTTAAAAACTTTAATATCAAGTGTCTGATACTATTTTATTTGAAGAAATAATGGTCATATTTGGCATATATAAACAAGATTTTCCTGGGTGATAGTGTACAGTCTTGTTGATACAAATAGTTTCAAGCCATGTACACAGCTCAGCATCAAGGAAAGGAATAGCATGAACTGACTGTAAGAGACGTTTATTGATTTATGGAATGAAATGTGTTCCTCAGTCCTTGGCCGGGTCTAATGGAGAATACATGACACAGTGCAACTTCAACAAAGTTACCTCTGCTAAATGGATTAACAGAACTCAAAAAGCAGTGCAGAATTTCTTCCCAACCTCTCCCAGTGACAGCAGTTCTCACTCACAAGTCAAGAGCTGTACTTCTGATAGAGTTATACAAACGTTAGTGTTAGTCTTCTCTTGGCACTATTATGGGCCAATCCTTTATTATCTCTGACAAAATTATGCTTCCTGACATGCTGAGTTAAGTGTTGTATTTCCTACAGTGATGTCTAAGAGAACATGCCACATTTCAGAACAAGGGAGTAGGAACATAGATTTTCTTAGTGATTATTTTAAAAGTAAGAGTGCATCTGGATACAGATACACAGACTTAAAAGAGGAATTTCTAACATTAATTAGCAACCTTTTCTACCCATTCCAATTAATTAATTAATTCTGAGAGCAGCTTGAGAGGTTAAACATCTAATTGTAGAAGAGCTAGAGATGAGAAAGAGGATCTGAAAAAGTAACTGCTCCTCCAAACAATGCTTGATGCTGTAATGATTTTAAATTAACTTGTCCTATGGATCGCACAGCTGGACTGCCCTGTGAAATTAAAGACAACTTTGCAACTGGGCCATTTGTTAGTTGCCTAGACCATCTATAACGCTGCTGATGCTTTTGAGAAAGCACGCAGGATCACCCTTGAGGAGAAAAGACAACGCAGAAAGAATCGAGCCTTGCAGAATATACCATCTATAGCATCTAAGGAATCTTTCTGCTGTGCCTTTTGCAACCAGACATGCCTCTCTCGTATTGGCCTTTTTAGCCACCAACGCGCTTGCAAGAAACATAGGTAGAGCCCTTTCCAAATCTTCGTTCGCGAAGCCTAGCCATGATGATGATGAATTAATACTGATGGACTGTCCTCAAGGGTTTGTGATCAAGAAAGCTGAAGTTGAAGATTTCCCAGCATAGTAAAACTAAAACCTCTAAAAATTATGAGCATTTAATGACAGCAAACAGTCAAGTCATTCCACAAACAATAAACTGACCACAAAACTCACTGTGAAACAAAGTTGTCTGCAGTACTGATACAGAAGTCTGTGAGTGGACAGACTCTTCAATGAGTGATGTAGATGTACTGATACCCTTGAGGGGCTGGAAGAAGGGTTCTAGAAGAGCTCTCAAGGTTTCTACCAACCCTATTTTTTGTAATCCTGTTAAAAATCCCTTCAACTAGTTAGGTTTTCTTTGCTTCCAAAACTTCTATAATTTCCTCCACAACGTCACCCCAAACAAGTTCTTCATGTAGACAAGCTTCATCATATTTTCAAGAGCTATGATCCCCTGAGTTTTGTTAATTGATACTCCCTGCAGGTGCCATTACAGGTCTAACTGAAATTCACATTGTAGGGGCTAGGGAGGGTGCTGGGAGATGGGGTGGCTGTTCAGTGGTTTCCAATTCAAATGCAGGTTATCTGCCCCTGTGTGGGATCTGAGGAAATCAAACTACTACCAAATTAGTAAGGCTGCACAGGGGTCAGTAGCCACAATTTTGATATAGCTGATAGCTCTCTTTTAGCTATTGATGGAGATCAGTGATTGAATTGTAAGGCACTGCATTTACAAGTGACTGTAAATGGTGGGAAGAAAGACTTGTAAAGATCTAAATCAGTGTCATACTGAAGTCACATTCCATAGACTATAATATTTTCAAGAAAGAACAAGGTCATACATTGCTTAGAAAACATAAAATCAGAACTTCTAACCTTTTCCAGGACTAATGGCTGTCAGGAGAGGCTTATGATCACTCATCTTTTCCAGCTTTTCTTTTTGTGAAATCAGCTCAAGCTCCTTCTTTTCCAACTGTTTGCTAGATGGGTAAAAAAGTCCTATGGTTTGGGTTCCTTTATCTTCTCTTTCTGTTAGTTCTGGCCTTGATTTGGTCATGGAAACAGGATGAGGTTGCCAGGCAAATTGAGCTTGTAATTGTTTAGCCTGGGGGGGTTGAAGGGAAAGTCTAAGTAATATAATTAGATATAATTAAATGGCTTACAAGCATAACTTAACTAGAACAGTACACAAAATTGTAAAGGAATGAAAAAGCTAGCAGGAAGAATCACTAACAATTCTTGATTTTAATTACCAGTCTGTAAGAACAATGCAACTTATCACAAATATTCAAGCAAAGTCAAAATTCTTCACAATTGCCAGAAGACTTGTATGCTTTTGTAGGGCAAAAGCTGGTCTTGCTAAATATTGCGGTCTTTCTTAAAACAGAGTTTTAAAAACACCATTACATTTGTATGAAGGAATATCTTGTATCAGCACGCCTCAAAATAATTCAAAACTAATAGAATAAGCTTAAAGAGCTAAATGTTTTGAAAAGCTCGTTTCTCACTTGCTATTTAGGATGAGGCTGGATTAAGGCCTTGGGCTAATGCTGCTCTTCAGCAGAAAGCAGAACAAACGTATCCTCGGTTTTGCCCTCGTACTCAAAGACCACAACATTGTCTTAAGGAAATGAATGGAGCTGTGCCAATCTATTCCCGCAATGGACCAGCCTTTCAGTTGTCTTGAAACCTGGCTTTGTAATACTGTGTGTCTTACTTCAGAAGATCCCAGTGAGTCCCCAGGATCCACAAGACTGCCGTTCGGAGAGCCCCACCTTGATGGGGGCTCTACGTAAACACCACAGGACACGCAAAAGTGAGTATATGGCTGGTTGCTTGTACCACACTTGAAACAAGCAAAGTAGGATGGAGGAGGTCCAGGCTGGAAAGTTCAATGCAACACTTGTCACTAGAGAAGCATATGATGCATGGTTCAGGAATGATAAGAGCAGAGGAATGAATTAAAAGGAAGTAAAGTACCACTCCCTAAAACTGTTAGATTAGGAATATTAATCAGGATACCAGATTGCTACTACACAGGCAGTTGCAACACAGTAAATCTTCAGATATTTCAGCACTATACTATGAAGGCAAACATTTTTTCAGACAGATCTAGCATTATGGTACGTTCAGTTTTAACATATACTTTCAAAATTACTTATTTTATTTGACAAAGCCCTGTAATTACTAGTCTGGTGCTCTGACACTGAATACTGACTGCAATTCTTTCCAGTTCAATTCTATCACCACTCCCACCCCCCGAGTTCCCTGGCACAGTACAGGACCAATGGTTATTGGATATAGGATAGTGTTTCAAATTTTATGTGCACTCATCTAACAGAAAATAAATTCTCCTTGAGTGTGTTCTTAGATTGAAACACTATAGAAGTGTTTGCACAAGCTCTATTGAGCAGTTAAGTACTTGTCTTTACCCAAGTTAATGAGGTCTTCAGCCAAAATGATTGCATGCATCATCTCATGTCTGTAAGTGCCTGTATAGGTGATTATAGCATAGTGTAGTTATGGGAAAACTTGCATTAGGTTAGCCTATACTTTAACCTTTGATGGATAAGTTACTTTGTCTGAGTACAGGGCTATTGCATCTCAGCTGATGTAATGAGCGATGCTCTTGACCCATGGTAATTAGTTAAGTTCTAAAACCTTAAGTCACTGACTGATGTGGGGTCAGGATGTCACCTAAGACTTTCGTTTTTCCATACATAATCCTATGTGCTCTAAGCAAGTATCTTGATAATAATAATCTGTCTACTAGCTGACAAGAATTTTGCAAAGAAAGCTTGAAATTGCTGCAGGTCACAGATAAGTGAAATCAGATTTGTACACACAAACACCAAGTGCACATGCCTTGGCTCCACACCAGTCACAGAAACGGGCATCACACTGGTTAACACGATGGCATTTTGAGCACGAAACTGTCTTCCTTTGCTGGCTGTGGTAAGGTGGGGGGGTGTCTCCTCCAAACATGGGCTAATAAAACAAAACAAGCATTAGGGAGAAAATGCTGCTTATGAAGAAAAGCTCACAAGCCTAATAAGGGGAAAGATGAAAGCAAGCTACTCTGATAACATAAAGTAATATGCAGCCTAAAAGAATTATTGCAACTAAGAATTACTGCAACTTAAAATGAGCAACAGAGTGGCTTGGATCTAACCTGTAATTTTTTTCATTACAAAACCATGGTAAAATGTGGCAATAATTAATTTAAAAATATTTTTAGCAGAACTAGTACCAAAAAATAAAAACCTTATCAATGGCATCCTTTTACACTATGTATTTATTACTGATCAGCCCCATGTGTAAGTACAGTTGAAATTAAGAGTGAGGGTTCTCTACTGATAATCTTATATTTTCAAATCCAACACAAAACAGCTATTTTTCTTCGTACCTTCCTTTTTAGTAGTATGGCAGAAAGAATGTGTTAAGGGAGGGAGTTTTCTCACAGTTTGGAATTTCATGTATAAATATTCTTTTTGCACTCTTTTACCTTATATGCAAGTTATATATTACTTTGTTTTTCTACTACAATTAACTTATAAGGGTAAGCAAATAAAACAAGTTTTTCATCTGAAACTGCTAGAGGTTTAGTATAGATCCCAGTTAGGACAAATAGGACTTAAAACTGCTTTGTAAGGTTTGGCTTCAAGGCTTATGCAGTTTATTTTCTCTACAAGTCAGGAATATGGATAAGGAACACAACCCGAGGAAAAAAAAAATTATTTGTATTACACCACAACAGCAAGTAAGCAAACATGAAATAGCCCTATTTTCATCTGTGGCCTGCATTTCAACTGAAACTAAGTAATTTGAGGGTTTGATTGGAAGATAAAATTTACGAAGGCACAAATCTAAATGTCTTCTAAATCTATATTATTTAATAACCATTAATAATAACATCAGAATTACTATTATTAACTATTTAGAAATTACTAATGGTTATCACTAATTAATCTATATTATTAGTAAAATTTCTGATTACTATTAATAATTCTTAGTAAGCAATTAACTCTCTCTCTTAGCTATTACAAGACGAATGCTCCATATGCCTAACTACATATGCAGCTACATATTACATGTCTACATTCAGTGAAGCAGCTAAACATATATTTGTCTTAGGTAAGTACAGAATCCTACTGAAATTCACTTTGTAATGACACTTCAGTGGCTACACAAGAGACTTTTGCCTCTAGCAACAGGCAGTTTTAGAACTCAGGATGTTAGCCATTATAATCAGAAGATTTTAACTTGCGAATCATTATTTTTCTCTCATTTCTGTATTTATCACAACCTGCAGAAGTGAAATGTACCATAAGTTTTTCATACAAGACTTCTCAGAACTGAAATTAAAACTTTCCTAAGGAACCAAATGAGCAAGTTAAATGGGGAGTTGAAACAGACATCAATTTTAGGGGTAACATTTACTACCGCTTTTCTCACCTCTGTGTAGAGTCACAGCCAAATACAAGCATACTAGCTGTATGCACATAGAAGAGGCAGCAAATGGAGATAAGAAAAATAATGTAAAAGCATATTTTGTTTTCAGAAAATAATTGAAATCAGTGTGAATGATCTTCCTCATGTATATACTCAACTTTTCTATTGCAATTGAAAATAATCTGAACAAAAACAAGACTTCCTTGGAGTCAAGACTACCCATTTTCTAAGAGCCTTTTGAGCTTTCTCAATGGCATTCATAATCCTGACTTCCATGGGAGAAACTTGAAGGTACGTGATACACTTATGTTTAGCTGGACGTTTGCGATGGAGCATCTGTGGCAGTACTGGGCTTGAATATGACATGGGGGAGGAAATCTCTGTCTTTGTAACATAGGGACACAGGGATATACCTTCAGTTTTCCAAAGATAAAGAATGTTATGCTTTCATTTCATTGATGCAAGAAGCCTTACCGTCTGTATTTCAGGCAGTTTGCTTTCACAAGTTGCACAGTGTTTATGGTGAAGAGGATTTCTTGTGCCACACACCTGACAAATTACTTTACCCTTTTAAACAGAGAAAGAATACATTTCACATAGTATTTGAAAACTGTGAACAACGAAAAGAACAAGAGGACTTGATCTTACAAAGTGCTGTGGTTATTCAGCCCTGCAGATAGAAGAGATACTTAAACTCTGTGCTGTAGGTTTCACACTTTAGTTAGGCCATATTGCCTGGTCATCACAAATCTGTGTATCTTGGTGACTAATTTTTTAAAACTATGGCATAGTTTCCTCAGGAGATCCAGTATCAATACTTCCAGATATTTGTATATACTAGTGTCAGTTTGCTTAGTCACTACACTCACACAAAACAGACAGTCCAGTACCTGCAAGGAAAATTATTAATAATATAATAACTGTTAATAATACAATACCATCATATCATTAGGTGCCTTAAAATATCCTTAAAAGGTCTTAGCACAGTCACTATTAACAACTGAGTTTCTACCAGGGCTAAGAATAATGAGACTGCTATTTTGATTGTTGCCACCAAATAGTTTAGGTCTGCCTTTGCACCTACATCAAGGCTACCATAAAACATTCCATTTGGGCCAACGGCTATAAACTACTTTTGGTGGGTTGACCCTGGCTGGAGGCCAGGTGCCCACCAAAGCCGCTCTACCACTTCCCTCCTCAGATGGACAGGGAAGAGAAAATATAATGAAAAGCTCATGAATTGAGATAAGGGCACTGATAACTGATTACTGTCATGGGAAAAATCTCAGCTTGGGGAAATTAACTGAATTTATTACCAATCAAATCACAGTAGGATAATGAGAAATAAAATCAAATCTTAAAAAACACTTTCTCCTCACCGCCCACTCCTTCTAAGGCTTAACTTTACTCCTGATTCTCTACCTCCTGCCCTCCTCAAGAGCACAGGGAAATGGGGAATGGGGGTTACAGTCAGTAACCTTCCTTCCTTCCTTCCTTCTCAGGGGGAAGACTCCTCACAGTCTTCCCCTGCTTCAGTATTGGGTCCTTCCCAGGGAAGAGAGTTCTCCATGAACGTCTTCAACATGAGTCCTTCCACAGACTACAGTTCTTCATTAACTGCTCCAGTATGTGTCCCTTTCCACAGGGTGCAGTCCTTCAGAAACAGGCTACTCCAGCATGGGTCCCCCGTGGAGTCACAAGTCCTGCCAGCAAACCTGCTCCAGCTCTCTTCATGGGGCCACAGGTCCTGCCAGGAGCCTGCTCCAACGTGGGCTTCCCATGGGGGCACATCTGCCTTTAGGCATCCACCTGGTCCAGTGTGGGGTCCTCCATGAAGTGCTTCCCCATGGACCTCCCTGGGCTGCAGGGGGACTGCCTGCCTCACCATGGTCTTCATCAAGGGCTGCAGGGTAGTCTCAGCTCCTGTGCCTGGAGCACCTTGCCACTGACCTCGATGTCTGCATAGTTGTTTCTCTCACGCATTCTCACTTCTCTCATCTCTGGCTGCAATTTGCTTCTGTGCAATAACTTTTTCCCCCCTCTTTAAATATGTTATCCCAGAGGCCCTCCCTCTGTTGCTTATTGATTCAGCCTTGGCCAGCAGTGGATCCCTCTTGGAACCAGCTGACATTGGCTTCATTGGACAAAGGGAAAGCTTCCAGCAGCTTCCCAGAGAAGCCCCACCTATAGCCCCCCACCTCGCTACCAAAACCTTGCCATGCAAACACAATATCTCTGTCAATCACATATTTAAGAATTATCATTAAAATCCACATTAAAATCAAAATAACATCATCACAACACTGAATGAAAGTGGAAGATTTACACACAATCCACCCCTCTTCCTTTCACCACAATTACAACACAAGAAATTCCCCATGATCACTCCACTCTCTAACACTGTGCAGTTCATGTTTTGTCTGTTACCTCTTCCAATTACTATCCTTATCTCAAATTCCTCATGCCCCACATAGGGCACCAAAAAGGACTGTGATGGATTGACCTTGGTTGGATGCCAGGTGCCCACCAGGCCACTCTATCACTCCCCTCAGCAGGACAGGGGAAGAAAATAAGATGGAAAAAACCTCATCAGTCAAGATAAAGGCAGTTTACTAAAGCAAAAGTGAAGGTCATGAGTGCACAAGCCAAGTTAAAAACTCAGAGGTTTTCTGTTTTCCATCAGCAAGTGATGCCTAGCCACTTCCTGGGAAGCAGGGCTTCAGCACGCATAGAGGTTGATCTGCAAGGCAAATATTGTAAAAAATGAATGCCCACCCTACCCTTCCATCTCCTTTTTCTTAGCTTTTATATCTGAGCTGATGCCATATGGCATGGAATTTCCCTTTGGTCAGTTTGAGTCAGCTGTCCTGACTACGTTGGCTCCCAAGATTTTGCCCACCCCCAGCCTACTGGAGACGTTGGAGAGATAGTGCTGGTGCTTGCCAGCACTGCTCAGCAGTAGCCAAAACATCAGTGTGTTATGGACACCTTTCTAGTTGCCTGTGCAAAGCACAGCACTGTGAGGGCTGCTGTGCGAAAAATGAACTCCATTTCAGCCAGGCCCAACACAGACATCAAGCTGGTAACTGCCTCAGATTATGAATCTCCTTTGTTATCTGATTAGTCTTCAGATAGTAATTTCCTTTCATCATCCTTTTCCTTCCAAAAATGTTCGCTTGCTATTATCACAGAATACCACTGAATGGCTGAGGTTGGAAGGGACCTCTGGAGGTCACCTGGTCCAATCCCTCTGCTCTGCCCTCTAGAAGGGCCACCCAGAGCTGCTTGCCCAGGGCCATGTTCAGATGGCTTTCAAATATCTCCAAGGATGGAGAATCTACAACCTCTCTGGGCAACCTGTTCAGTCACCATCACAGTAAAAAAGCGTTTCCTGATGTTCAGATGGAACCTTCTGTGTTTCAGTTTGTGCCCATTACCTCTGGTCCTCTTACTGGGCACTACTGAAAAGAGCCTGGGTTTATCTTCCTCCACTTCGGCCACAACAATCTTATGCAGCACTAGAGGCTGGGCACAGAGTGGCTGGAGAGCAGCCAGGCAGAAAGGGACCTGGGAATTTGGATTGACAGGAAGCTGAACATGAGCCAGCAGTGTGCCCAGGTGGCCATGGCATCCTGGCCTGTATCAGGAACAGTGTGGCCAACAGGTCCAGGGAAGTGATTCTTCCCCTGTACTCAGCGCTGGTGAGGCCACAGCTCAAATACTGTGTCCAGTTCTGGGTCCCTCAGTTCAGGAAGGATATTGAGGTGCTGGAGCAAGTCCAGAGAAGAGCAACAAGGCTGGTGAAGGGACTGGAGCACAAGTCCTATGAGGAGAGGCTGAGGAAGCTGGGGTTATTCAGCCTGGAGAAGAGGAGGCTCAGAGGAGACCTCATCATTCTCTACAACTACCTAAAAGGAGGTTGCAGCCAGGTGGGGGTTGGTCTCTTCTCCCAGGCAACGATCAGTAAGACAAGAGGGCATGGTCTTAAGCTCTGCCATGGGAGGTTTAGGTTAGATATTAGGAAGAAATTCTTTACAGAGAGGGTAATCAGGCATTGGAATGGGCTGCCCAGGGAAGTGGTGGATTCTCTGTCCCTGGAGGTTTTTAAGATGAGACTGGATGTGGCACTTAGTGCCATGGTCTAGTAACCATGGTGGTAGTGGACCAAGGAGTGGACTTAATGATCTCAGAGGTCACTTCCAACCCAGTTGATTCTATGAGCTTCTTGCACCCTACCTTCAGGTATTTATATACATTGATGAGATTGCCTCTGAGCCTTCTTTTCTCTAAGCTAAGCAGTCTCTCCTCTCACAATCTTTCCTTTAGATGCTCCAGTCCCTTAATCATCTCTGTGGATCTTCACTAGACTCTCTCCATTATGTCCATGTCTCTCTTGTACTGGGGAGCCCAGAACTGGACACAGTACTACAGATATAGGCTCACCACAGCTGAGTAGTGGGGAAGGATCACCTCCCTTGACCTGTTGGCAACACAGTTCCTAGGGGCTTTGGCTTTCCTAACAATGCCTCTGCATATTCCTCCCAGGTTACCTGTCCCTGCTTCCACCTTCTGTATATTTCCTTCTTATATATCTGAGTTTTGACAGGAACTCCTTGTTTATCCATGCAAGGCTGCTGGCACTTCTGCCTATCTTCCAGCTCATAAGGACAGACTCCTCTTGATCTTGGAGGAGGTGATCCTTGAATCACCTTAAATCATCACTACCTTTCTTGGACTTCTCTTTCTGCAGGGCCTTATCCCATGGGACTTTCTCAAGCAGATTCCTGAAGAGGCCAAAGTCCGTTCTCCTAAATTCCAGGGCTGTGATCTTGCTTTTGTCCTGCTCTTTACTCTCAGGGTCCTGAACTCCTGTTTTGTGGTCACTACAGCCAAGGCTGTCTTCGACTTTCACATCTCCAAGAAGGCCTTCTTTCCTTCTAACATCCAGCAGAGCACCCTTCTTCTCTGGCTTCTCAACCACTTGTGCCAGGGAGTTATCTTTGATATTTTCCAGGAAGTGTCGGATTGCTTATGCTCTGCTTTGTTGTTTGTCCAGTAGATATCAGGTGCCTAAAATCTCCCATGAGGACCAGGGCTTGTAAATGTGAACCTACTTCTACCTGTCTCCAGAAGGCCTCATCCACTGTTTTTTCCTGGTGAGGGGGCCTACAGCAGACACCACTACGATGCCACCCATAGAGGCACAGAATCATAGAATCATTTAGGTGGGAGAAGACCTTTAAGATCATTGAGTCCAACTGCTAACCTAACATGAGAGCCATCGCTCCACACTCCACTGCTACATCATGCGCTCTTCAGCATGCATTCCTGAGCTTATGTTGTTCACCTTTAATCCTTAATTCCATTCTAGGTGTTTTAATCCTACTAACTCTTAAAGCTCTCATAATATAATTATACAAAGTCAAGTTGGATCAAAATATTTGTAATGAAGTAATTTGTTAGAAAAATGCATGCCAGGAGTTAAATCACTTTTATGTTACATTTGTTCTCAATTACCTTTATGCAGGTGTTGTTTTGAGGCTGCAGCTGTGGAGCCTCACATACAATGCAAGTGGGTGTATTCATTGGCACAGGATGTCTGCATTCAAGACATGGTGCCATCTGAAGAAAAAGCCACAACACAGCATGTTAAGGACCACAATGAAATCATTAAAGTTATAATGAGATTTCAATATTTTCCTATCTGGAGTCTACATAAGAAGCAAAGTCACTTGAAACAAAGAAACTGACAGCAACTGATGCTGATATTGATCCCTAAAGATCAAAGGCTATTGAGAAAATATGAACACATCTGGAAAGACAATGCCGAAAAGGTACTAAGTTAATTTTCAGTAAAATTAAAATGCTACTATAAAATATGTACAGGTAATTGAAATCCTCCTAATTATGAATCTAATCTAAACAGGCAGTGAATCTTCTCAGCCATTACTTAAAACTACAGCATCGCCCCAGACAAGATATCTTTCTGATGATATAGGAAAGGAGACACACCATTGGCTTGTTAGATCAGGTTATTATCTTCTGGGAGGGGCTTAGGGAAGACAGTTACAGGCAGCACTGCAAAAACTTGGTGCTCTTACATATGCCCACACATGCCACTGTTTAAGGTTTCAGGAATATTAGATGGATCTTCTAAAGCTATGACATAAGCACTAGTTATTAGCTAACTAACTGCACTAGTTAGCATTGGAATAAGACACATAGTCAGGTCCTGAAGATGCAGTGGTTGTTGTTGCAGGATGAGGAAGAATTTGAATCTGTCCTGACACAGGCAAATAAAACACAATTTACTTTTTTATTGTTTTCCCTATTAAAAAACATGGCACTTGAAGAAATCTATGGGTAATTTTGCCCATTATTTGAGAGTTTCATCAGCTCTACTGCTAAAGGTATTGAGCAGAACAAAACAATTAGAACAGAACTTCCAAATGAAAGTGCAACTAAGTAACAGGTTTGCCAGCACTGAGTGTGTAACTTGCAGAGGATGTTGTTTACTCCAAAGATGACGTGTTGATTGTTATGACATTTTGCTGACCTGCCTTCCTTCAGGGAGTGGGAAGCGATGTACTGGCACAGGTGGGATAGGAGATCCACATTTCTGGCAGAAGTGAGCCAACAGATTAGACAGGTGAGGTGCAGAACAGTGTGCACATCTGAAAATAAGACCAAACTGGCTGAGCTTGTTTTAGTATTGCACTGCTGCATAATAATTAATAATCTGGAACTTGTTGTGACAGGACTTAGGCCACTGATTTCTCGGTTGTGGTTTCCAAGCTGTGGTGGTCTACTAGACCATGCCCCAGCATTCATGATATGAAGTTCTGAATTCTAAACAGCTTTGCAGAGTAGAAAGCTCTCTGGCTGCTATGGAATTTCATACTTTCTTCCTCATCATGAGGAGGTAAACATGTGAGGTAAACAGGTCTCCTGACATGCAGTCTGTATCAGGCCTCACTGCTGCAGCATGGGGAACCACTGATGTAGATCACAGAACCCTTCCAATATTGATAAGCATTACTATTCTGTGAGACTACTCCAGTGAGCAGTTTTCACCTACAGCAGTAAGGCTGTAGTATAATTTGAAAAGACAGTTTATCCTCTGACTCTACAGGTCCTAGAAATTTTTTTTTAAGAGATGATAAGACAGTTGATAACTGTGTATGGTAAAATGTAAATAAAACGACATTTAAGAGAAGGCCTTACCTTGATTATATTATTCAGTTATGAGCCAGTGTCTGTCTTTGCTTTCCTAATGTTTATAGAGGCCCACAGTATTACCAACTTGCTTGCAAAAGGTTCAGACACTTTCCGAAGGACAAATATGTTAAAAGGAGAAGTCACTTACTTAAGGAAATCTGTTTCCCTCTGGATCCTTGACACTTGTGTGCTTGCTAAGCTTTTCTGGCTTGTCACTGCAGAAGAACTTGCAAACTGAAATAAAGTTACTTCTTTAGCCCTTAGTAAGCAAATATTTGCAAAATGGATATAAAAGTAGCAAAGTCAGCTAAAGATGCTATTTGAAACAACAGGAAACAGTGCACTGAAATGCACTGCTTTAAGGAGCATCAACTATACTTGATTCCCCATTAGCTGCCTTAAGGACCCAGAGCTTCTTCCAATAAAAATAAATCAATCTCTTGCTATTTACTTTCATGACAGAACTACTGAATATTGAGTTTCAAATATTAACTTGACAACATACAGCAGTAGGTATTTGCTAATTGCACATTCAGTAACATATCAGAAAAGAATTAGTAAGAATGTTAATTTTCTGTGCCTGGTTTTGTCCATACTGATAACTGTAAACTGCTTTGGACATTCCTATTCTAGTATGTCATTACCATTAAATTTAAATCAGGACTGTAAATAATAATGGCCCATCTTCGCGAACGAAGATTTTGGGGAAAGGTCTTTTTACCTTTCCAGCCTGCGCAATGGATTTTTTAGGTGAGACACAGCATGCGCTGAACTGAGCCCACCCTTTAATCCTAAGGTTCATCTGCCGGGGCCAAGCAAGCTTGGACAATGGCAGTGAGGTCCTCAGGACGTAGGTTTGTTTAGAGTGTCCTTCTCATAGATGGATGGCCACACAGGGCTAACAACCTCCATCAGGCCAGGAGACCGGGGAATCGAACCCGTGGTCGCAGCAGTGAAAGTCCTGCACACTAACCACTAGGCCACCAAGGGTCTCAAATCAGGACTGTAAAATACAGACAAAGGCTGAGAGATCTGAGAAATCACAAATCTTCATATCTGCATTTTTTTTAGACCTCTGTCCTAATGACATTCTTACACAGTTTTCTTCAGCACCCCTTTGCTTACCTGCAATGACTCTGTTGGTGGTGCTGAGACAGATTCTTCTCTGTACTCTGTTGTTCCCAAATGACTGGCAAGGAGCTGTGGTCCTTGCAGGGATCTATGAGAAGTCTTTCTTTCTGTTTCCAAGATTAAAATTACAATTCTGTTATTCCACTGTCATTCACTTCATGCAGCTAATATATATCTTAACATGAATATTACATACTCTCGCTAAGCATATTAAAAAATGTATTTGACGTCCAGATTTTGGGTTCAAATAAGCTGCACGGAATTACAGGAAACTGAACTAGAAGAAACATCATGTCTCTCTGAAAGAGCCTACTTTTGTATTTTTCTTTATTTACAGTTTTATTCCTTCCTTCATGTTCAAAAAAATCCCAGCTCCTAAAAGTAAATTAATGAGTAAACAGTAGTACAATTCCCTGCTCTTAAACAGTCCCATTGCCATTGCCATGGAATAACAGACTTTATCTACTGCAAAAATTTGGGTTAAACTCTAATTTGTGCTTTGTGTATTTATTTTGGAATCTTACTGCAAGCAAACATAGTAAAGAACTCTGTAAAGGATTTGTAATCCCATCAATTTAACAGCATTTTCTGGTACAAAGAAAAATACAGACTGGGCCTTGTTATGTTGCCGAGAAATTAATGACATTTTAATAATTTTTTAAGAAGTAATGTGAAATGTATGGAAGGTAAGTTTTGTTCTCTATTTGCAGTGTTGAGCAGAGGATGTTTTGTCCTCTGAGATGGTTTTAAAACTACCTATATGATACAAGAGGAAAAGGTTACGCTATTTTCTGCTAAAACAGAAGATTATCTCAGTTTTATGAAGTAATACTATACCTTGAAAGTCTTGGGGTGCTTCACCCCAGGCAGGCTTGATTTCCATATTCAGTCCGTTCTTCCTTGATTTTGTAGTAAACATTCCACCTTCCTTATTCTAAAAGGTAATTCCATTTGAATTCCAGACGAAATTTTTGCTTTTGCTCAAATCCTCTCTTGCTACATATTTAAGCTATTTATTTTCAATGCAAGCATTTGAAAAACTTCTATTATAAATGTATTTTTAAAATATTTTATGTGAATTGTTCATAAAATACCACTCTGGGGAAAAAAAGTGTCTCTTTGAAATTTTAATATTACAAAAAGGACCAAAGCAGCAAAGATGGGCAGACAGAGAAAATAAATATATTAATAGTATAGACAGTTTAATCTCTAACTAACACATATATAATATATATGTTATATTATATATAAAATATATATAATATTTTATATTATATATAAGGGGTTACAATTGCTAAAACTTACCTGTGTGGCTATATCTTTTAGAAAATTCTTGTCATCATCTTCAACAGAAAAAAGGATGTTTGCTTGCTTGTACTCTACCAGAAACACCTTTGTTACAACTGTACTCTTCCTGCAGTCCCTGAAAATCAATGTTCACAAAGCTATATACCCGCCACAAACCCGTGTGCAGCAACGAGCCACTGATGAACATGGCTCATCTGGTTGAACATCTTTTCCAAGGTTGCCAGTTACTACTGCAGTTGATAAGTATAATCCTGGGCAATATTTAGGTAATAAAAATCTTCAATTCGCTAATACATGTTAAATTACAACAGTAACATTGAAATTGCTGTAAATGTGCAAACCACTCACTTAGGATAAAAACATACTGGAAACAAGTGTTAATCTAGATAAAAAGAAAATACACATAGGCCTAGGTTTTGCATGTCCCTGCACAGGGAATATAATGTTGTTATATTCCAGCGCAGACACAAATGAAGGCTACCTGCAGGTGCTAACAACAGGGAACAGCAAGCACAAATCTCCAAGTGGAGTGGGAGTTTCTGCTCTGTTGGAAATAAAAGATAATGCAACACAGTCCAGACAGAGAATTTATGTGTCCTCTCTCTGTCTCTAAGTATGAAGTTAGTTTGGACAAAGTCAGTGGCTGTGCAGCAAAATCCAGTTTTCTTTCTATGTATTGTATTTTCACCTTACCCAACACTGTACTTAAACTGTGACGTTTGGCATTCTGTGCTCCTTTGGGAGAAACTAAGCAAGTTCCTGGAAAGACCAGCTTCTATAAATCTGTTGAACCACTGGATGACCCCAGAAAACACCATACTGGTTCCTCTGGTGTTTCTGATGACCACACTCAAAAGGATGAGCTCTAAGTACAGTATATTAGCTTCTCGCCCACAGCCTCTATGGATCATTGGTCTATACCCACAGCCCAGGAGATAAACATCGGAGAGATAATTCAACCGCACAAACACTTGGTGGATAAATAGTATTATGAGAATGCAATGTCAATGCAATTCATAAAGATCATTTCAATTGCAAACTGGCTGTGGAAAGGGGCATTTCTCATTTGCAAGGTATGGAGTGCCTTAAACAACATGGCTACAAGCTGTGACTGAGATATCTGTCCCTTGCCAAAACAGGACTAAAATAAATAAGTTACTTACTTTGTAACTGCTAGTGCCTTGAGCACTATTTTCCCAACTGGTAATATGATAGGACCCTTATACTTAAAAGTGTTACACTCTCCATAGCCAGGTTTCCTAATGAGTTCTGGTTTACTTCCATCTAAAGTGTAATAAATAGAGACCTCAGGTGTATCTGAAACAGAGAAAGTAATTATTCAAACTGTATTCAACCTTGGAAAAACAAGCTCTGCACTCCAGAGTACTCACTACTGTGCTTGATTTTTGTCACATAAACAAAATAGAGCAGTTCCATAAATGACTGAATGTTTGGGACCAAAACTCTTTCTGCCATGAAATATCAGTTACTCAATAGACACAATTTCATTATGAGCAACATTTCTTATATCAAAGTAGCTGGGCAATGGTTTTGTACGAAAACATTACAGCAGCTTATCCATTCCACTGACAGAAAAGATATTTTCTGCCATGGTGAAAGGTGACATTTTAAAACATGTAAGGAAAACATTGGGGGTGAGCCTGGCACATGATATTTTCAAGCACTGTTTTTGCAGTCAAAGCAAAATGTAACAGCTTAAAACTTTGACCTTGGAAGCAATTAAGACTGCTAACACATATAACTTGTATGTTGGTAATATTACTTGAATGCATAAAATTACACGCAAGTATATTTGGCACATCAAAAGCTGTTGGTTAATTTTGTAAGTTCCTTAATGAAATGCACACTAATAAAAATCGTAATCAAATGTGAAGAAAAGTATAGAGGCTAAACAATTCAAATGACCACAGAAATAAAGGTTTGACATGGACTCAATTCATACCTGATTTTATTTCTATGAGAGTATTTGTGTCTATTTCATGTTTAGCCTTCCCTGGAAGAGGGATTCGAAGTGGTATGACCTGAGGAACTGAGACAGAGCCAGCTGTCATTTTTCTCAACAGCAATCTTTAAAATAGAAAAATAAAAAGGCAGACAATAATTTTCCTAAACAGAAGAATGCACTGAGAAATACGGTCTTTTAACATGATCTCTTGTCCTCATTTTTTTCTCTTAAGAGAGAACATTGGATTCTTTAAACTGTTATTTGTCATTAATATTTGCATGATTTTCACACTGAAAAGCGGCAACATCCTACTTCCAACTCATTCTCCTGTTGCAGAACTGTGAACAAAACTTGAGATGAGTACTGTGAGGGAGACTCCACAGCCTCTCAGGGCAATCTGTTCCAGTGCTCGATCACCCGCACGGGCAAAGTTGTTCTTCCTCATATTCAGGTGGTACACCACCGAGAAGAGCCTGGCTCCATCCTCTTGACATCCACCCACCAACTACGGGCGGATCAGATCTTTACCTGACCTGAGGGGGCTGATAGCTTTTCCCTCAAGGCCCCGCCTGCTCTTGGCACACCTGGACCAAGGCACGCTGCGCTCTGTTTCAGCCTCCTGGGACCGCATCCCTGGCGGGAGACGCACGGTCCCAGCGGCATCCCCAGCGCGCCCGGCTCCCGCCACAGGGCGGCCAGCCCCCGCTTTCCGTCCCCTCCCGGTCCAGCCTGGTCCCCCGCCCTGCTCCATCCCTGTTGTGCCAGCCCCGCTGCCTCCCCGCCGTGCCGGCCCCGCTCACCCGCCTGGCTCCGCTCACCCGCCTGGCCCCGCCGCCGTCCCGTTTCCACGGACGCTGCGCGCCGGGCGCTCCCGGCTCCCATTGGTCGTTGCGTCCCCCTCCGTTGCCCGTCTCAAGCGTCATCTCGCCGCGCCAGGCCGGCCGCGCCATGGCGGAGGTGAAGGTAAAGCCGGAGGTGCCCGACCCCATGGATATCGAGAGCAGGTGCGGGGCGGGCGGCCCTGGGGGGCTCTCTCGTGGGAGGTGGAGAGGCTGCTGGGCGAGAGGAGAGGCAGGACGCAGTAGGGGTGTGTGAAGGCCCGCAAGGGACGTGGGGGAGACAGGCGTGGGGCGTGCCGGTGCCTTGAGAGGTGTTGTTCAAGGCCTGAGGGCTGTAGTTCGAGGCCTGAGTGTGGTCAGGAAATAGGTGCTGAAGGAGAGGGTTGCAGTTGTTTGAGGTACTGAGAGTTTCGTGCTGAGAGGTGCTTAGGTGGCAGTGGGGGACGGGGTCAGGTCACCTTTGGCTGCCCTGGTGTTTTTTCTGGTCTTGGAAAAAGGAATTGTGGTTTTTTTACATGAAGTATTTTATTTTTTTTTCTTAAAGGTATTTCATCACTATTTGCCTTCTCTGACTAGTCACCAGTTCCTTTCCATTGGAAGCTTTTGTATAATAAAACATACAGGGAGCTTTAAATCCATGTTGTTAATAATGAAAACAACACAAAAGTAAAATAGAACACCACGCTCAGTGTTGTCAGCAAGAGCAGAGGTAGTTGGTCCAGCAGCTGGGGCTTGTATTTGTCAGCACAAGGGAGTAGATGCTGGGTTCCCTCAAGAGACATGACCAAGAAACAGTCGCTGGATACTTTTGCCCTGAGTTTTTCTTGTCACTCTCTTCCATCCTGACTCTAATACTTGAATTTGGATTCAGGTGCAACAGAACATGACTTTAAACTCGCTTTTCTCCTCCCGCAGGATTATTGAGCTGTGCCACCAATTCCCTCATGGTATCACAGACCAGGTGATCCAGAATGACATGCCTCACATGGAAGCCCAGCAGCGAGCTGTGGCCATCAACAGGCTGCTCTCCATGGTAGGGGGATCTCACCTTCCTCATTCTATCTCAGCCAACCCAGAGCATGTACATACATACTCTGTACGTACAGTCTGCATGTTGGGCAGGGCTAGCAGATTGATCCCATTGGATTTAGCAGCATTTGCCATGATATACAGTTACCATAGTTTACGTTTGGTAGCCATAAGCACTAATGATTGCTAAAGTTAATTAAGGCGTGCCTCAACTGACTCTTTCTAGTCTGCAATACAAAGTTAACATGAAGGTGTATATCGATGTGGATCACTGGGTGAGGAAGCTACCACTGAGAAGTACGACTTCTCAGTTTTTTGGGTGTGGGTTTCTGGGTTTTTTGATGTGTTTAGAGTTTTTTGGTCTTTTCCATATGTGTTACTTTGTAAAGCAGAATATGTTACAATGGTCTAGAGTAACAGTTGGGTACAAGTATAGTTGCAGGGGTTCATCAGGTGGAAAGATGGCCACGGGTGATAACCACAAGGCCCATTAATGATCGAGAATGAATTAGCTGGAGAGAAAAGGATGGATGTTAGCCCATGCTCTTATATGTCTTCTCTGAACCCCTCACAAAATCCCAAAGTTGTGGATTACTCTGATAACATGCAGGTGAAACATGTCAAGGAATATTTTGTATTTTCTGTAAATTTCCCATGCCTCACTGGGCATTTCTCTTTACTGTATCAGGAGTCAGCCTAAGATAAGAGCAAGGATCACACTCAGCTACTCCGGCCAAGTGTTCAAGAATAGAGTAGCTGTTCAGTCTTGTTGGGTCAGTGTGGTGTAAACTTGAGTAGCAGCTAAATGTTCAGGCTCTTTAAAAGATCAAGGTTCCTTTTGGTTCCATACCTAGCTGCTTCCTGAGCATGTGGAGTCAGGAAATAAAACAGTCTGAGTGGTGCAGTCCAGAGAGCACTTTGAAAAAGAGGACAACTTGCTTCTTAGAAAGAAGGATAGTGGAAAGTATCCAAACTGAGCAAGGTGTGGTGGTTGGCTTTTGTTGTTTTGTTTGGGTTTGGTTTTTTTTTACTAGCTGAAGAAACTTCTTAACTTTGATCCTATGATCCATACTAGGTATCACTGGAAGTAATCTTTCTCTTTTTCATCTTTCTGTTATAAATGAGTTCTGTTATAGACTAAGTGTGTTCAATAACTTTGAAAGGGCCATCCAGATTTCATAATGAGGCTTCAAAGATAGTTAAGTCTTTGGAATTTGTTTAAAATTGATGCTTAGAAGTGGGGAGTATGTGGGAAGATCTAAAAAGTACTTCAGACATGGGGGTAAATGGCAGTGAGAGCTCAGCCTTAATATGCATCAAGTACTTTGTTTGATTTAATCTTCAAGTACCTCATCTGTAGAAGAGCATTGAAGTGTGAGCTTCAATCAGCCAGGTGATGTAAATCTCTAAGAAACAAGACTGTAACTGTAGGAAAGGATCAGCTGGCAATTAAAATGTTAATTAATGCTGTTATACAGGGTTACACTCTTAGGCTTGTCTAATTGCTTGCCTCTTCAGGATAGGAAATAAGGATTTTCCTGGCCTAGGCACAAGTGTCCAGAGCAGAAGAATTTTTCTGTGTGTGAGAGATGCCCTTAACTTGCTTCTGAGAGTCACTGCCCATCCTAGTTGGCAGCTTTCCAGTGATGTCCACTTAGTAAAAAGTAGAACTTCAAACAATTCGAAGTTCCAGTAGCAAAGCTTATGCAGTAGAACTCCACTGTGATTTTTGAATTGCCATGCAAATGAGTGTTTTGTTGGAAAGTGAGAGTAAAGTACACAAGAACTTGATGTCCCTCCTACCATATGAAAGTTAGGAGAAGTAATAGGAAGTGCATAGATGTTGTGGGAAGGGTCAGGAACTATTTTTTATTTCTGATAGCTGATGGTAAGTGGATACATGTCAAGGAAAAAAAAGATCCTCAAGACTATTATTGTACTTGTAGGGAGAAAATATCCTCAAGGCTATTATTGTTTCCAGTGGTTAGAAATGTTAGTTTTCTTTCTTTATTATTTAGTTGACATTAAATAAGTTTTTTATTTTAGAATTTAAAAATATCCTTTGCCACCTTCTGAAACAAGCTCTTTGAAGAAAAGTAAATGCGTTGTGCCCATCTCTCCTAGGGGCAACTGGACCTTCTCAGGAGCAATGCAGGTCTCTTGTATAGAATCAAAGATTCTCAAAATGCGAGGTAAGCCTGTGTTTGCTGGATAAATATATTTGGAACACAATTCTGCAACTCATGCAGCATAGCTGAGAAGTCAGTCAGCAGTGTAATGTGGATTCTGTCACATGGATGTCACAGAACATAACTGCTTGTTTCAGGAGGGTACACTTAACTCCCCTGAGCTCACCCTGAAATCTGTTTTAGGTGTAGTGTTCTCTACTGAGCAGAAGGTGCCATGGGACTATAGCCCTAACTTCCTAGCAGAGTTCCTGGTCCAAATGACACCAAAGTGATCTCTGCAGACATATGTATATGCTCAGGTGAAAGCCAGCTGAAGCCTGACCAAACCTTCTGCTAACTGGGGTTCTGTGAACTTCCTCACTGCTCGTGTTACAGGATCAGCACTGATATTTACAGCTGTCCCAGGAGGCCACTTGAACTCATGCTCTTTGATTTATTCAAATGTACCTCTAAACCATGTCTTGCGATGCCTATGTAAACCTGAATAAAAGATGCCTAGACATACTTCTGGAAAGAAATATTCTTCAAAATTATCCTTAGTGCAGGTGTATTATCCTTTCTTTCAAATGCTTTAGAAAAGGATTGCTGAGTTCATGCTTTCTTGGACCAGTGAAAAGGCATGTTCTAGAGTTAGAAGCATTCTACTATCCTTTTGAAGATGTTCTGTCTAGAGACAGATTATCTTAAATTCTGTTTCGTGCTGTGTTTGACTTTCTGAAGTTGTGTTAGTATGTGACCCCAAATTCCCCATTGTTATGACAAGTTGAGTGATTCCTGCTTAGTCACTTTTTTTTCTTTCATATTGTGCTCTTTTCTCTTTTCTGTGGCTTCTCACTGGCAAACTTGGCTGGATCCAGAGAGGTTTACTGTCATGTATTATATTTGCCAATGGCTGGCTTACTGCATAGAGGGTTTTTTGTGCATTGTTTTTTGGTTTTTATAGTACTTGTTTGTAGTTTTAAAAAAAATCTCCATCTTCTTTCAAATTTTGGACCTTTCAAAAATCTTGATATCTGTCTTATTTTACAGTAAAATGAAAGGCTCTGACAATCAAGAGAAGCTGGTTTACCAAATTATAGAAGATGCAGGCAACAAAGGTAGTTTAAATTATGATTGTGCATGGTACTAACTCTGTTTGCTTATGGAACCATTCCTATCCAAATTTGTAAATGCTTCCCGGACAATACAAATATAAAACTTTGAGTCCTCATACCAGGTCTGTAGCTAATGTTCCATATATCTGCTTTTTTAAAAACAAAAGAGAAGGTGACATGTTTCTCTGTTAAAATAACCTGTCCTGGTTGACTTTTGGGAGGGGCTCTTTTAGAAGACTTGGAATAAGAATTGCAAGTTATCTGTGGGACTGTCAAGCCAAAGTATCTGCAGAACACTCCCTACTTAAAAGAAAATGCAGAACCAGGATTTAACAGGTGTCCTGCTGCCAGAAACCACTGCTAATGACAGGGCTTTCTCAGCGTTCATTGCACACTGTGGTTGAGAGTCAGAAGATAGAACTAGTTGTCGTATTTTTGTTGAAGCAAACACTAGTTAGTTACAAAGAAGTACTAGTCAGTAAGAATATTTCTGTGGTGCATTCC